ATACATCCTTTTTTTCCTCTGGAGCTTATTAGCATTTCAGTTCTCAGTGGCTTCAGTGAGTTCATCTCTATTAGTAGACTGCATTAGATTCTCAAAGTTTCATTATATTAAATAAACTGCTGCATGGTTGTTTAATATTCCGAAAAAAACCCTGCTAAGAATCCTATACATAAACATAAAACATAGATTCTGGAGCAAAAGTGGACAGGCATTCATAGGAGAATATATATATGAGTATTTTTGTACTCACACAACATACTCACCTGTCAAAGGCAATTACTGAAAATATGAATAGAAAAAAAAAACCCTGCAAATTTACTGTTTTATATGGGGCTTGATACTAGAACTGGAATAAACAAACGTACTTGAAAGGACATAATTTCAACTAAAATCAATTCTGTAGTGTATTTCTCCATTTTACAGCAGTAAAAATTACCAACCAACTTGTTGTATCCAAAGTTACTGCTTCTATATTGTTTGGCAAATGATTAAATTAACACAATGTCCATGTATTTTAAATTTTTGTATGAACAAAACTCAAACTTGCAAAATCAAGAACCTTGATTTGCAGAAGTCCAAACCTGCAGTACTGCAGCAGCAAGGACTATTAAAATGCAATGCAAATTCCACTGTAAACACTACACATTTCAAGTCAGAGGAAGCAGTTATACGAGAAGCTGAAAATAAAACACAAGTACCTTCAAAATTATACCGCGCTGCAACAGACAACACAAGTTCTTCTACCAAAAATCTGTCTTTCTTGCATGTTTAAGGTGACAAGGTTCAAAACATTGAATTTCACTTTATAATTTCCATTGCTATGTTAAGGCAACTCTAGTAAGTTCTAATATTAAAAGTTACCATTCTCTTTTCAGTGTAGTTGTTGTACAACATGAACCAATTTGAACAATGCACTTTGAACTAAAATTTACAAATGATGCCAACAATGAAAAGAAGTCAGCATTACATCCTTCACCTGTGCCACCAGTGATTTCCAGGACTGAATTAACAGGTAAAAAACCTGCGTAGCCTCTTGACTCTTCATCACTTCAAGTACGACTCAATCATGGCACACGCTGGTTAATAACTTCTTATGCAGACAGACATACGTAAAAAACGTGTTTTCTCTTTAAATCTATGCATGCACCTCTTTGTATAGAATGCATGTAACACGTATTTAAAAGAAAGCAAAAGTTGTTGGAACATTATCTAATTATTACCTCTTTCATACAGTGTCCTTTTTTTTCCAGACACCAAAACCTCAGAAAAGAAGCCATTGCATATGACTTAAACCTATATACTCATCTCAATATGAACTAAAATGCTGTGAAGCAATAACGTAGTAATATTTCATGAGCACTTAAATGCTATTTTTTTTGACATATCATAAGTAAGTCCTTACATTCCGTGTAATTTTATGTGTTTGCAAGAAAGAAAAACTGGGACTATGAATTACAAAAATATGCACTATGTATGACTCAACTTAAAGACCAAGCCAACTATGGCATCCTCCTCATGAAACTACTATATTTAACAAAGGGTGGGGAGAGGAGTGATCCTATGGGATCAGCTGAGAGCCAGCTTTAAGCACAAAAGTTATGTCACTTACACATCCAAGTGATATAAAACATCACACAGCTAGCCCAAGAGAGTAAAGCCCAGTTGGAATCCCTATTAACAAAGCATTTGCTAAATGATCGGACAAACAGGTTAGAATTGGACTAAAACTTTAGTCTTCGAAGGCTTAGAGCATCTCAAGGAAAACGGACAAATTCCCATTTGTACCACTGTCTGATACGGCATTACTAAGCACTCACAGCTGTCTTGAGAGCCAGCTTTCAGCTTAGGAGCTGCATTACCTTTAATGTACAGAATTTTGATTTAATAGGTGATTAGACTGGCAGCCTCACTTGAGAACTGGTCTCATAGATATGTCTCATAAAGAACATGAAATGATTCTCAGGGCACCTATTTACTGCTTGGTAACTATTTGTGAATAATAGCATGTCATAATGTACAGCTGAGCAACTAACTTACAGAAATACCAGAAGAAAATGCATCTGATGTACAAAATATTCTTCATCTCAATGAAATACAATTTTAAAAAAAGAAAAATCACGAAGATATGCTACAAGATGCTTTAATAGCCATGCTATTAAAAGATGTATGCTATGAATTTTTCATTCCCATTAGCATCACTTGCTACTTTTGAGCCTAATACATCCTCCAGCATGACGCTAGTTGGCACACCACTTCTCGTTAAACTAATATACTGGCCTTCAAACAAATCAAAACCTGCTTTAGTGTAATAGTGTTGGGTCAGTAGCACCAACTTCTAAATATTTCATAATTTATTATTTAAATTGAAGGAGGGGACCACATCATAACAACATGCATAAAAGCCCAACCCCCAAACCCAGGCCAATCACCAGAAAACTTGAGAGAAATCAGTGCTCACAAAAAGCTTTTATAAAATATAATCCTAAGTATCCTATAATCCTAAGGTATCCTAAGGAGGGAGAAAGTGAAGAGAGGCTACACAGGAGCATATCTTCTCTGACCTCCTGATGGGAGTTTTACCAAGGTTATCTACTTTATGAGGTCCTGACTGTGTCTGGGATAAGAGTTAATTTTGTTCACAGTAGCTAGTAATGTGCTGTGTTATGGATATAGGAGGAAAATAATGCTGATAACACACTGATACTTTAGTTGTTGCTGAGCAGTGTTGCACAGAGCAAAGAACACTTCACCTCCTCACACTCTTCTGACAGCAGGGAGATGGAAGAGTATAAGGAGCTGGGAGGGCAGCTGACCCAAACAGGCAAAAGAAGTTTCCCATAACCTATCATATCACGCTCAACTGTAAAACTGGTTCAAAGGAGTAACTGGGACACATGGTGTGGCACTGTTTGCCTTTCCCACTAACAGCTATGTGCAATGAGCTCTGCTGTTCTGGAAGTGGCTGAATGCCTTGTCTGCTGATGGGACACAGTCTATGAATATGTTGCGTCTTGCCTTCACACAAAGCTTTTGCTTTATCTACAAAATTGTCCTTATTTCAACCCACAAGTTCTTGCACTTTTTTTTTACCTTTTCCATTCTCTTATCCTAGTGCTGCTAGGGGTGAGTGAGTCGGCAGCTGGGTAGTGTTGAGCTGGTTGCTGGGTTAAACCACTACACAGTCAAATAAAACACTGCTTTCTCACCACCTTCTTTTCAGGAAGGCTGGCATAAGATATATAACACTCCTGTAAGTCATAGATAATTAGCTCTTCAGTCTATAGGTAAACAGTCAACAGAACTGCCAGACTAGCTAAGAGTGATGACTGAATCATCTGGCTGATAATTTGGTCTCTTAAACCCAAGAGACACTAGCTGCAAAATGGAAAGAACATTTAATAAAAATTTAAGTCTTTTCAATTCTGAGACATAAAACAACACCCTATGATTGTCAATTCTGAGTATGAGGCAGTGGCACCTCAATTGTTAGCATAATAACACCTTTACTAACATCAAACAGTCTGTTCTCTTACCCCTCAGCTAAGGAGTTTTTACATAGAACATGGAAATGTTACAAGAAAGACAGTTTAGTGAAACTGATCTTACAGTAAAAGAAAACAAAGAATGGATTGCTTCTTTTCTTTAAAATGGTGTTCAAAATTTAGTCTTTCAGTTTGCCTTTAGAAATCTGAGTTTCTGTAAAACTGTAAAATGCTGAGACGAGAACTAATGCTACACTGAGAGCAAAATTTTCAAAACAAGTCTCATTTCAGTGTGTTCTCTGGCAAAGTTAGGTACCAATGGGAAGAAAAAAAAAGAAGATAATTTGATCTTAGGGTTCTTTTATTATTTATCTATCTATTTATTTATTTATTTCTGCAGAAGACTAGATTAAAATGACCTCAGCTAAGGCTAGCGGAATAACAAAATAGTTGACCATTCCCCCAGTTTTTGTTTTCAGACCGACTCCTTTACTTCAGCAAAATTATTTTTGTGCTTTTTATAAGTGTGGCTGCAAGGCTCCTGATCTTTCACTATAAGCACTGAATTTTCAAGCATTCACATGAAGTAAACATAGTGGAGGTAGTAGTAGTGGTAGAGCAGCCTCATGGAGACAGAGAAGCAAACAGAAAGAAGCTGTTACGGGTTTCCTGAAAGTTCTGTGTGCTGCTGAAATTTTATTTGGCCAAAAGATGAAAGTTGCCATTGATGACGATATTGCACCAAGTAAAAAATGGCTCCAACCAGTCTGACAAAAGTGGAGAAAAGAGTAAAAATTGTACACAAGTAATGAATGTATTTTTAATGATTTAACTTCTGAATTTAAGTAACAGAAAGAAAGTATTAAAATATTCCTATAACGCTCTATAAAAATACCTAAGAACAAAAGATGAAAACAGCTTGTTTAAGTAAACAAATGAGCTTTGACCTAATACTGCAATCTGTCTCATCTTCTGTTGTAAGGTCAAAAAAAAGTAAAATTTTACTGTCTCTTACTGCATAATGCTATAATGATTAAAAAAAAAACAAAAACAAAAACCTACTGCCACTTCTAATTCTAATTCCTGGTATTTAACATGAATAATACTACCATCATTTAGGAAATTAAGCACCTTTGCAAGTTTATAAATTTTGAAGTAAAACTGGAGCTAACATCTTCACTTGCAATATGCAAAGGAGAGGATTACATTATAAACCAGTTTTGTTTTTTTTTTCCTTTTTACAAATATAGTTTTACTTATTTGCAGGAGCACGCAAAGAAAGGCTTCAAAATTATAAATTACCCTAAATATAAAAGCTCTGCACCTTCTGTATTGCAAGCCAGCCATAAAAATCACTCAGTTATTTCAAATAATATATACAAAAATACAACAAGCGAGAGCAGTGAAATTTACTCTTGCAACAAAGTCAGTAAGGAACATGATATGAAAACATGCATTTATGAGACACACCAGACAGAAAGCATGAGTTATTAAAGAGAAATGGAATGGGACACTTACACAGTGGCTCTCTCTCAGGGGGTCCTGATGGTTACTATTTTCTTAAACCATCTAGACAGAATAGCAGGCTGGGAAGAAGGGAGCCACATACAATCCACCAGATGACAATGCTACACAGTGTAGACACCAGCATAGCTAGGAGCCATCTAAAAAAGGGGTTGGAGGGGGAGGAAAAGATGAACAAAAATTCGAAAGCAAAAGCTATTGCTGCATTTTAGCTTGTTTCTTTATAAAGCATACTGCTCCATAATCTTAGTCAAGCATTTTCTTACTTTCCATATGAACCCATGTAACTGTAACTTGTCAAATGTATCTATGTGTTACAGGAAGCAGAACAAAATTTCTTGAAATCCTCACTGAAGTAATCTCTTCCAAAGAAAATTGTTGTCAATATTTCAAAAATAAATGCACTCTAGACCATTTGTAGCCATCTCTTATGCAGTTTGAACAGCCTGTACCAATAGATCTTACTTCACAACCATATGTTTTGATACAAAAATACTCGCCCTGAGCCAGATCACTTTCTAGCAACTATTTATGTGAACACTCAAAACAGCAAGGCTGCATTACTTCCTGCATTCAAAACTGCCAAAGCTAATTGATATTCTCTTTGCCAAAGGTATACCACATTGCTTATTGGAACATACACAAAGCATCCATTCACAAAATCACATAACGGTCATACAATCATCTTCAAAATGCTATTACAGAAACCCCTTGTGACTCAAAGTAATGCTCCTAGCCTTCAAAAGACTGTAATCCTCTTGACTTCTGGTGCTCTTATTTTGCTTGTGTTTTTTGTTGTAGTAGTTCTTTTGTTTTCTCTCTGAAATAAAACTACATAGAGGATTTAGAAATTTCTTTTTGTTTGCTCATACAAAATCAATTTCTCAACAGAATTAACTACTTTTTAAGATTCTGAACTAAAACACAAAAAGGCTAAGAGCTGTTTAGGTATGACAACTAATCCTGGTAAGGCAGCTAAACATTCCTACTGGTATTTTGGTTTAATAACAGTAACACTGTCATCACGTTATCTCAGTATAAGCTGTACTCAGTCTCAGTACAAACCATAAAATCATTTCCTGCAAGAAACAGTAGAAAGGAAATTCCAATTCCTTGTTAGTAAACCACCTCCCTGTGCCAATATTCAAAACTATCAAAACATAAATTACCCAGTCAACATTCATTCTAAAGAACATGCTGTAACTGAGACTTTTCACAAACTTTATTATATACTTAAAGTACTACATGTGAAAAAAAATACTAGGAAGTACAAATGAAGGCAACACATGCCTCAGAAAATAATGTGCAAGGTAGCTATTTTTTACTTTACTATTCGAGTACGCTGAGGTGGGTTGTTTTTTTTTTTTTTTTTTTTTTTTTTTTTTTTGTTTTGTTTTGTTTTTTGTTTTTTTGTATTGTCTGATTTTTCTACTTTTTAAAAAAATTTCAGTTGGTACAGGCTTTGCTCTTCATATATTGTTGATTACATGATTGTCTGTGTAAATGATGACTGTGAACAACAGAGATTCTTTTAATTAAAACAAAAGTCAAATTCTTACACAGCAATGTGTGAGGCTATCCAAAGATAGTCTTGTAACTTTAGCATCTTCTTACTATGTACTTCTCACTTTCCTAAAAGTTTGATGGACCATAATTAGCTATGAATTATGCCTTATGATTCCTTCAGAAATATAGCATAAAAAAAGCCAAGTTGCCTTTGGTCTATAATTCCAGTAGTGTAATATTTGCAAAAATCTACCGCCCTTTCTTTCCTAGCAAACAAATGAGATATTGGATATATCTTTCACATCTTGCATTCCCTTGCAGTTTATGTATGGGGAGACAAAATTTTTTCCTTCTACAACAGATGCAAACAGCAGTTGCCTACAAACTTTATTTTACAGGTGATGTTTCATGCTTGTTTTAAATAAGGAGACTAACATACCAAGTTCCAAAATAGAACAGGCCTCCTTAGAATTTATTTATTGAAATAATACTACTACCTGCCTTCCTGAATGTCAGCCATTATCCCAAAGTCCAAAGGATTTAGGGTATGTCCTCCAAGGAGAAGGAAATAAAACAAAGCTAAAGATTTTTCTTTCAACTATTCTTAAGCAGCTGGCCCTACTGAAAACTATGAACATACCATATTTCAAGCAATCAAACACCACCAATCAGTCATATTCTTCCACTGCTATGCTACCACAGAAAGGAAGAAGAAATTACTAGCATATGGCATTCATAAATACTACAGGAATTTCCAGAGCACAGAGCACTGGAATCAAAGATTAACACAAAGAGAAAGAAAGTGAATAATGCAGGTCTTCAACCAAGTTCTCCTGCTTCCTTAATGCCTCCAGCAGAACTTTGAGGAAAAAGGTGAATCTCATGCTTGTTTTAAATGAGCAAAATCAGTCCTGCCAACAAATTTATAAGCGCTAAGGTAAAAATGCATGAAGAACAGAATAAAAGCATTTCTGGTATTTATGCATTCATAAACTGACTTACTTTTGTGGAGATGCAGTTGTAGATTTTGCCTGCCTTTTACTTTTCAAAGCACGAAGCTTATCACCTTGCGTTATACTGTCTGTTTCATCTTCATCACTGTACTGGATAAGAGGGAAAAAGCCAAAGTTTAAAAGTACACACTTAGAAAGAATTAACTATACTTTAAATCTTAAATTTAGAATTATCCCCAAAAGAAAGGCTGCCAGCATAAAACTGAAAGAAATTCACTTAAATAAATAAATTTCCTGTGATGTCACGTGATTTGCATGCATCAAAATGTTCAAACATTGGAAACACATCTCAAACCACTGTTCAGGTACAAGACAATACTCACTTGCCATTTCCAGCAATTATCCACCTCTTAAAGAAAGCAGACAGCTTCAAAAAGTTGTACAGAAGCTGTAATTTTTCAAAGCTAAATATAGTGAAAAACTTTTCATTCCTCCCCTCAAAACACAGAAAGTAATACAATAATTTAACTGGCAATCCAAAAAACACTTACAGAATTTTTGTCTGCAAATTTTAAGCTCTAATATTGTTTGTTCTAATATTTATCTAACTGCAAGGATCAACTACGATGATAATTCTCCTACCTCACCGATGTACTGCACTTCGTTTTTAAAATCATAATTCCTGTCCATAGCATTTTTATCCCCAAACCTCTTGATAGGAAAAAGGAAAATAGAAAAAGGAATTTAATATCACAGCTTTTTTGTACCCACATGTTTGTTTAGAATCTAAGAAATCCTCAACAGCATTTGCAATTTTCACAAAAGCAAGATATTCAGATGGTTACCAGCTCAGTGTCGTTTTGGATTGTCCTCCTGTTTCTAATACCATTAATTGAAATATGACCTACTCCTGACACGATTCTTGTTACACCCATTTTACAGTTCCGTCTCAACTTTTGATGGAAAAGATCTCCTTCTCTCCAAAGTTCTGGCTGTTTCCTATCACAGTACAGAAAAATAACCCAAAAACCAACAAATTAACAACACAAAATTTAAGGATAGAATAAAAAGAGAACATAAAGTTACGAATCTATTTTCAAAATTAGTAAGTCAATCTACTTACTTCATTAGGAAATGCTGTTGTGGTCCGATCACTGAACCTGGTCTGTTTATCCTAATCCAGGCAATCGTTTCAGCAGCTGTCATTCGATAATGCTTCATAATATAACAGGCAATAAGTGTGCCAGTTCGTCCAAGACCAGCTGTGTAAGATAAAAAGATGGTTTTTTTTATATGCTTGTTTTCATCTGAAAGCTGCTGCAGCTACAGACACTGTGACTCAGACAAAAAGTTAAGTGTCTGTTTTATTAGATAAAATTGTTGCTGGTAAAACTCTCTAAGTGCAACCTACCTTTTCAATTTTTTTCCCACATATATATAGTTAATAACAGATTGCTTAAGTGTTTTTAATATCTGCAACTATATATTTACATGCACACATACAAAAGCATATAGGATGTATACACAAACAGGCATCACAAGTTTTTAATGCAGCTATACAAGAGCTGCCTTTTCAGACAATTCACAAAGCACTTTAAGTACAAACTGATCACAAATTGCAGTAACATCAGTTGCTCTCTTTTTTTTTATTCCCAAGGAAAAGCTAAATTTTGCAATAAGGAAGTTTGTATACTTGCCACTATGAGGACTACTCTAGAAAACTTTCCTAAAGGCCCTAGAAATGGAACCATTTACCTTGATTAATGTGAAAAGGAAAAGAAGATAGCCAGCTTTGTGGCCTGCTTGATCACTTTCTATAAATGTCAAATCACATTATTTCATTTAATAATCTACTGAACATCTGTGTAAAAACCTTCAGTATAGTCCAACAGACAAGACAACCACACAGCACTTTCTGTGCTTTGTCCAGCTATAAGAACAGGCTAGAGCATTCCACTGTTTCTCAAGAGTTATAGGAGGCTGAGGACTGTAAGGTAGTCTTGACATCATCAGCATGATAAATATCAGAGACATCTTATTTTGAAGGAACACAAAGCATTTGTACCACTTTAAATATAATCAATTAAATGATATGCCTGGATTTCACATCCTGGTAGAGAATGTAAGCGTACAGTCAAGAAGCTGTTCTGGTCATGTCTACAGTATAATCCTATTAAACATATAGCAAGTGAAAATCCAGAGAAAAAAAAAAATGAAGCCTCTGAAGGTCCCAAGCAAATGTTTAAGAAAATACCTTTCTCCTCCAATCATTATCTGGTGTGAAAGGGAAAACAGTTGCTCTGGAACTGCAGAAATCTTTATGCCTCAGCAAGCTACATTCAAGCTATGCTGGGCATGTTCTCAACAGCCATTCCTTTTGAGTTACATTGCCAAGTAACAGGCATTCAGAGATACCCAGCACAGCTAGTACAGAGGGTTTCCGAGGGATGAAAACAGTTATGGTTCTGTAGGAACACTCCAATACTTCATGATTACTTTTCTAAAAAGCTCTACTGATATTTTTAAAAATTTATAACTTGGGTGTATTTATTCACGTTTTCAGAAATACCTATAAACCTTGCCAGTATTGTGAATTCCAAATCAAAAGAACCTTCTGAAAGTGCTAACGCTTTCTAGTAGAAAGAGATGCTAATAATGGCAAGTTTGCATCCAGCAATCTCATTCTTGAAATATTTGGAAAGACTACTATGGAACTTAAAAAACTAGAAGACAAAGAGCAAAACAAAAGCACATAAAGAATGTGCGCAGGAAAGCTGTTGCTTAGCAAAGTTGTCAGTAACTAGATGTAAAGGAATTACAGAATTGTAATGGGGCTGTAAAAGGGACCTTAGGGTGAGAAATATCCTAGGAACTATAACTTGAAATATAAATTGTTTATAACTGTACCTTTGCAATGAACGGCTATAACACCTTCAGCATTTTCACAAATACTTAGAAATGCTTTAACGATGGTATCATTAGGTATGCTTCCATCAGCAAAGAAGAGGTCAAAATGCTCAAATCCAGCATCCGTAAAACGTCTGGCATCATACATTTTTTTGTTGAGGCGTATTATAGTGGTGACCTTATGTTTCCTGAAATATGGGAAATAAGCTTCTGGAGCAAGATGGGGATAGCCTATTTGAAAAAAAAGAAAGTGGGGGAGAGGAAGAAGAATGAGACTCAAACTGTAAAATAAATGAAGACTGAAAACCAACAGAAGAAAACACTTTCAAAATAAAACTTATGACAAACATAAAGAAATAGTGTAACTGAAAATGGAATTTTAAAATAATCACCTAGATCAGATGCAATTAAACCAAGCATTACAATTTTACTACCAGGGTTCTTATAAAAGAAACAGAGCCAAGGAAAAAACACACTATTTGAGGAACAATTTTTAAAGCTTTTTCTTACTGGTAGCAACCAACTAAGTAAGCAGTGGGCTTGTGTCCCCCACCTCCTTTTTTAAGCATACCATTTTCAATTTTACTTCTTGAATGAGGTCCACTGAAGGCAATGAATTTGTTTGGTATTATCCAGTTAAAATCTCCATTTTCTGCTCTCTGTCAAGAGAAAATGCTTGGTTTATCATTATCCCTGTATTTTCAGGCTTTTCCTTATTGTTTCAAAATACATGCTAGATAGAAGTGATGTAAAATTTTTGTCAAAGAAAGTGTTAGTGACCTGCTTTTTGCTTCATCAGGAGGCTGTCACTTGTTTTTAATCTCACTCATCTTGCTTGTATTTTCCCTTTTCTAAATTACAGTTTTAGAACAATGCCGTTGGTAAGCTTCAGATGAAGAGCAATTTTCAATTCTGACATTTTTATAGGTTTCTAAACTATGATCTTCCTCTTTTTCATTATTTAAATCATGATTTTTTAGATTCTAAGAATACCTAATTTTCTCTTTACTGATAACTAGCAGTGTTGCATTTCTGAGACTTTATATATTCAGACACTGTAGTCCTTTAACTTCATATTAATTTCCTACACCTCAAACTTGTTGGAGGCTTTAAGTTTCCCAGTCCTGTCTTCTTCTTTAGTTTAAAGAATGGTATTATAATTTTGCTTTGTGTTAACAAATGCACACTTCAATTGGCTTTCAGAAATCAGTTAAGACTTGGACCTGTCTGCCCTCAAGCTGCCCACTGTAACTGCTCAGAAATATGCTACACTTTTTAAAGATTGCCAAGGAACAAATTCCTGCTCCCTCATCACCTTCCAAGACTTTAATAAAAACATGGGGAAAAAAGTATTTCAGTGCTGTTTTCTGCTTTTCTCCACTATGTTTGAGGCTGACTACGCTTAAATCTGACTCTGAATACTCTCTCTGATCACTCACCTATATTTAGTAATCACAGTTGAAAGAGGTAAAAAAGAAATGGAACATAATACTACAGACAAATAGCACATATTATAAACAATCATAATGGCATTAACAGCAAACTAATCAGAAGATTGATACACGTACCTCATAATGCTCATATTCATTTACATCAAATTCATCAAAATCCAGAAAACCATACTGCAAAGCCTAAAATCCAGAATACAACTTTTAACAAAAATAGCATATTTTCAGTGAGGACAGTTAATTTCTCTTTCAGGTTACTGAATGCCTCTTACTACTTGCTCTATCCTTTCAGAGGAATTTCTTAATTCATTTGAAAAAATACACAACAGTTGAGTCTTGGTACAAAACAGGAAAAACCGATTTGTAAATTATAATAGAAGTGAGGTTACATGAGGAAGTCTTTCTGTTTTCACCAAATTCATATTTTATAAGTGTACTGTCTTTTTATTACTGCTAGTAGTAAGATATGCCAAAGAGAAAAATAACCGGCAAACATTACCTATTTAAACTACGGGTATATTCTGAAATCTGTATTCAAAGATAAATATTTTTGTGTAAGGATCCTATTCTATTAAGATTCTTATATCTTCACTAATTAAGAACTGGCTGCAGATATACTAAGCCTACAGTTCTAAAGAGAAATCAGTGTGATCCTCGATGCTCCTTATTATCTACAGCCATTATATTTAATACAGTATAAAAAATGTAAACTTTCTGGTAACTGGCAGTTTATCACTTATTAAGTCAGAAAGAGCAAATGCAGACAATCTCATAACATCACATATTTTGAATATCAAATTCAAATCTCTTCTCATATTGCATAGCCCATTGTGGTTTTCCTTGCTGTTTACCAGTATTGAAAAGAATAGCAATTCACTGCTCTTGGCAAAGGAGCAGCCAATGTTGGAACACAGAAAAACACCTGAAAAATCTCAAAACTACAAGAAGTTGGCTTATGCAATAGAAAGAACAGTATTTGGCAGAGACACTCACAATGAAAAAAAAAACAGTAATGGAATGGAGAGCCACAGAATATTCATATATGCCTCTTCAATTTTCATATAGATGAAAAAGAATGCATTCAAGTTCTCCTTGCTCTAAAATGACACATTAGTCACCACTGTACTGCTGTAAGACAGTAGGTTGTAATAATTTGTGATTAAAAAAAAATCAGCTTGTAACATTGTTGCATTTATAATACTGAAGCAAAACTTCAAGTTACAATTACATACTGAAAATGCCTAAAAAGCACCAAAAAGCAATTCAAAAGCAAAATTCAAAGGCAAAAATGGGTCATCTGATAAAACTGTTAAGCAGCTCTTAGGGATCAGAGATACAAACGACTGTCCTGAAAAGATTAATTAAACAGAAGTCAACATTTCCCCTTTAGAAACTTTTCTAGTTGACTAAGCATGGCATAAGTTCACTTCTAGGGATGTTCCACCCAGTTTTGTTACAATGCATAATACATAATAAGCTGGTAACAATCAGAAAATTTGCTGTAATTGTAGCTGTAACAGACTAATTAGCTACTAGCTTTCAAAGGCTTCTTTTTCTGCTGGGCAGTAATTAGCTGATGTTTCACACTAAAAAAAATACTGTTTAACTTACCTTGTTTATTGCATGAAAACAATCCAGCAAAGTTAGATGAAAACTGCAAGTACCAAATGAAGCATCCCTGTAGTACAAGACGATCAAAACAGTTAAGTTTTCCCATTTAAATCTCTATTTCTCTATATTTCTCTAAAGCAACATTAAAAGATAAATAGAATTTCTAGTATTGCAAAATATTGTTGAACAATTACTTAATTTCCACCCTTGTATCTCATAATAACAACACAGAAAATACTCTAGTTATACCTTTTGTTAAATGTAACATGCTCAATGTACATGTCAACAAAGAACAGAAATACATGAAAAATAACAGAAACTCCCTATGGCAAAAACTGATGCATAAAGAATAATCACACTGTAACATACAATCTTAAAACATTTCTATCTGAAGTTCACTTCCAAAAACATCAAACTGTAATACACTGCAATTTTCTTCTTCAAATTCCATTTAAAGAAAAAAGACACTTCACAAATGCATTTTTTAATATATGTGAACAGTATCTTCTTGGAAAAACTGTCAAGATACACATTTGTATGGATATGCTAAAAGATTTATAAGACGCACAGAATAGTTAATGCTTAAACTTGAGAAATTGGTTCTCATCAAAACTCTTTCATCTACTTTTTTCCTAAATCTTCTTGATGCAAAAATAGCATGTTCTCGGTATATAACCATTACTAGACTCCATAAGCACAGTCAAATAAGCATTCTTCAGGAATACTTCAGTCAGGTAAAAAATAAACAATCAATATCAGATGATATTTTATCTTGTCAGAACAGCTACTTTTGAAAACCTGCAGCTCTTATCAGAATACAGGGAATCATTACGGCTACATTAAAGTAAAAAACAGACCATCTTCAAACTCAAACTAAAAGGAGGAAGAAGTTCTGAAGAACCTGAACATCTGCCTCTACACATTATTTCTATTCTTTTCTTCCTAATGAGTGTGAAGGTGAAAAAAAAAATCTGCAGGTGACAGTGATAACAGAACACAGTTCAAGTAAGTGGAAAGCATTCTCTGCATGCTGTTAACAAGTTTTCCTGTTGGTAATGATCAGAAGTATCAACTACCTTTCTGTTATTCTTCTGAAAGGCAAAGCTTTTTGCAGAGATGAAGATGAGAGAGCAATCTGAATTCAATAGCAAGTTCTGCTGAATTCAAGAAAATAGAAAAATTCCCAGATAGTTCAGCATATTGTATGTATTATACTGGAGACTAAACACGTTTTCAGAAGTCAGCTATCAGTAATTCTTGTTATATAAAATATATTTGCATTTTTTTTCAGTAGAGCTGTCAAAATGATCATCTGAGGATTTGGGCATGGTGTGTGATCTGAGTGAACAACTGCTATCTTAGCTATCCACATACATCTTTAGAATTTTTAGAAACACAGAGGTCTTTAAATAGGCCTTTTTATTTCTGGGAATATCCAAAAAGGAATTAAAAAGAGAAATGGAATGATGGAAGTATGAAAGTAAAGACAGGTACTACTACACACTTTTACTATGAAGAAGTAAAGGAAATTCAAATCATCAAAAGCCCAGCTCTTGGACAGGAGCTAGAAAACACAAACAAGCAAGGACTGAATTAATCATCAGCAACCAGATAGCAAACTTGCATTCTAAAAAGTTTTTTGGCCATTCTTTTCTGCATACTGAGGCAGCCAATGGAATGTTAGTTTGATCCAACTTTTAGGAACACTTCTTTGAAGAATTTATGAAGTTTTTTCTACACATGGTGGATCAACCTTATTTGGTAAATTAAGCTGTACAGCATACACCACAAAGAAAAAGCTAGGATTATATTCCCTCAGGGTCAAGCAATGACAAACCAGTGGTTTTATATATTTCCTCATTGGTAAAAATAAATACTTCAAAGTTATGCTAAATCACAAGAGGCTAGGTAGCATTCTTTAGGCACAAAACAGTATTTTTAGTTTACTTCATACATTTGCTAAGTGAAATAAAAATGAGTGTGAGAAGTATTGTAAGTCTTGTGTGATTACTGGAAGATATTTTGACTTTTAACTGTCAACTACTAGCATAAGAGCAATGTCAAGTAGAAAGCAATGTAGATCAAAAAGCTCAACAAAGAGTATATAGTATACAGTGTGGCTTCTTCACCTTTCGCATACACTTCAGAACCAGATGCCAAGCCCCCTGTTAAGTTTGCACTTAAAATCAAGCTGTGCCCTTTTAAACTATAGCAACAACAACAACAGAACAACAAAGCGAAACAGAAAAAAAAGTAGTATTGCTAAATGCTATATTCTTCTTCAAAATATCAAGCTACAGAAAGTTATAACACTACTATTTACCTGAAAGGAAGATATGAAACACTGCCAGCCAAAACAAGCTTGTATGCATCTTCTGGTGATTCTTTCAGATATATTATCTGTTTTTATGGAAAAAGAGGGAAAAACTATCTTAAGATTCACAGAAATAACTTAAAGTTACTTCTTTACTGCAGAAGACATAAGTATCACAGAGTTCAAAAACACTGTGAAAGACTGTTGTGAAGAGCAAAAGAATACAAATGTGCAACAATAAAATCAAGCAAAACAATAAAAAATATTCGTAAACCATGAACATATATTCTTAAGCAAAATGTATAGATTTGTCAAATTTCATTTATTTTAGACTAATGTGAAGATACTGGCAAACATATGAATTGTCTGTTCTACAAAAGAGTACATGTGCTCAGAAGATAAGATTAAAATAATAACTTGTAAATGTTTTGATTTTCCTATAGCAGTACATTTGCATTATTCTAAATCCTGGACTTCCTCCTTCATACTGGTGAAGCAGTGTTCAGTAATTAAATCCAGATGTCATAAAGGAAAAGTAATAATCCATAGTTCCAGAAGCAAAGTCCTAAGAATAAAATGAATACACTTGAAACACTGCAAATCAAACTTTTAGCTGTCAAAACCTCTCAAAAAAAAGATAAAAATCATGAATACCACCTAATGACATGAATATCGATGGCCTTCCCCCATGAAATACCTGATCACTCTTGTATATCCTCTAACAGTAAGGCCTACTTAGGAAATATTGCATAACTCTTTCATTATGCAAATCATGTCTTCCAGTAATCAAGAAATATCCCCTACGTGGCCAGGACAAAAGAACTGTTAATAACAAAGCAGTCATTATCAGGTTCAATAATTTCATGTTAATACTTCTTATTTAGAACTGCATTAACTAAGCATTAAAACACTTCAGGAAGTTACTGTTTCATTAAAGTTCCATAAATTTATTTACACCTCCTATATAAGTAAGCTTTTTTGTTACAGTTTATCTTTTATGTAGAAATCATCATGAGTACTAATTAAATACGTTATCTATGACTGGGATACAGGACTTGAAAATATTCCAAATAAGCTTGCAGATGACATTGAAGTGGAAGGAGCTGCTGAATCCCTCAAGGGTAGAGGGGCACCTTGCAGAGAGATTTTGCTAAATCTGAGGGCTGGACAATCACCAGCTGTAAGAAGTTTAAGAAGAGCAGGCGCTGGCTTCTGCAGCTGGGATAAGGAAATCTTAGATGTATGTTCAGACTGGAATGAGAAGTTGGAGAGCAGTCCCACATGAAAGGACCTGAAGGCTACGCCTGACGGCAAGTTGTACATGAGGCAGCAATGTGCCCTGGCAGCCTAAAGGTCCAAATGTACCTGGGGTGCACCAGGCCCAGTACTGCCAGCTGGCAAGGGGAGGGGCTGTCTGCTCTGTGCTGCACAGCCTCATCTCCAGCACTGGTGCCACAAAACAAGAAGCACACAAAAGTATTAGTGAATGTTCAGAGGAGGGCTATGAAGATGGCAAAGGGTTTCAGGGCAAGTGGTACAAGGAACCAGCTGAGGTCTCTGGGTGCGTTCAGCCCAGAGCTGGGCAGGCTGAGGGGAGGCCTGATGGCAGCTGCAGCCCCTCACAGGGAGCGCAGAGGCAGCATTGAGTTCTGTTCTCTGTGACAGAGACAGGGCCCGAGGGAACATGGAGCTGTGTGAGGGGAGGGCAGCTGGGAGTTAGGAACAGTTCTGCATCTGCATGGAACAGGCTGCCCAGGACAGTGGGCACAGCCCCTGGCTGCTAGAGTTCAAGGAGCGTTTGGACATCGGCCCCATATGTAGGGCTTAGATTTTGGGTACTGCTGGGATGAGCCATGGGCTGGACTCAGTAGTCCTCATGGGTTCTTTCCAATTCAGGAAGGATATCCTATGACGTTATTATTTGAATTACTCACAAAAACGTACATTATTTTCACTCTCATTTGGCTTTTTTTTTTTTTTTTTTTTTTTTTTAAAGTTGGCATCGCCATACAGATTTCATTCTTTTTGCTGCTGCAAAATCAGTTTGAACAAATGGTCTAATTTGTGTTGGTAATATCTTCTCCACACACACACACACGCACATACACAAGCATTCCTGAGAGTTGGAATGGGAGGTAGAAGCGATATTGAAAAAAAAAAAAAAAAAAAAAAAAAAAAAAAAAAAAACCAAACAAACTTGAAACATATCTTCAACAGACAGCTAAAATACAAATGGCAACAGGTGACCTTTCTTGTTTCTCCTCTGATTAGATAATGCTAAGTATTTTCTGGGCATTCTTCCTATGCAATTAGCAAAACCAAAGGAAAGAAAACAAAAAAAACAAACAAAAAAAACCCACACAAGTGTTTTGTTTAAATAATCTACTGTAGTAACGAAAACTGCATTTTTTCTGTGTTTTCACTGAAGTGGTGTAAGTGAAATTTATATTTCAACTTGCAAGCATATACCTAGAATTAAAAAAAGACTTAAAAATTTAGATAGGTAGGTAGATCACTTAAGACTTAAAACTCCTCAGTTGCTTTCTATTCTGCAGGCATACGTTATACATAATTCACTGCCTGAAATAGATACAATGATCATGTTAAAAAGAATTCCAAGTTGTATGTTTTGATACAGTCATATTTAATGTCTTGGAGCAAAATGAAAACAGAGTTCCAGCTTCTATATGAACAAAGCACCGCTGGCTTATCAGAGAAAAAGTGCTGCCCCAGAAAAACTAATAAACCAGAGACATAACATGGCACTAACAGAAAGAACTGTAATTAAACAGCAGTTTGTACCCAGAAATGCATCACTCTGCAAAAAGCAGTGATTCAGTGCTGCCAGGCTGGATAATAGAGAGCAATACTTGTACAATAGGCAAACAGAAAGGCAGCTAACTTTAGCTAATCCTTTAAGCACCTGTAGCTCACAAAGGAAAAGGATTCCTCTCACATTTCAGTCAAGCTTTTACCGTCTTCTTGAATAATACAGGCTTCAGCACAAAAGCATGTTTGCAAATGTAACAGCAGCAAAAGGAAGTTTTTATTGCCCTAATGGATATGTTACAATAAATTAAGCCTAGATAACACCACATGATATTGAAACAGGTTAGTTCTTAATTCTGAAATGACATTACTAATGAAGAAACACATCCAAATGGATATTCCTTGACATAATTACATGAACATTCACCACAGACAAGCACATTTAAGAAAGCCAATGTGATTTTCTAATGAAAAATTCTGAGTACTAGAATATCTACCATCACTCAGTACATATAGAAAAAAAAAAAAAAACCACACACACTGCAAGGAGATGGGTTTTTTTAGTGTGCATATGAAACAATATATAGTACATTCACTGAAGGAAGCCCTTTGATAGAGTCAGATCTCTTAAAATTTCTGGAACAAAAGCAGATTGTGGTACATTCTGGCTGTGATAGCACACGTAAGACGTGATGCGTGGAACAGTTTCAGAAACAACAGTGGATGAAACTGCTGGATGGAATTCTTGGTGAAAAGCAGTTTACAAAAACTTCAGGTTAGTAGGAGGATATCTGGGCAGGTGCAATAAAATGGCGTATTTCAAAACAAAGAATGGCAATTCAATCTTTACTGTAAATGGGAAATACTACAAATTGAAACTTCATTCATAAGGAAAGTATCCCAGCAGTAAGACAACACAAGAAGCAGAAGAACAACAGAAGCAGAAACAAGATTTTTACTGGCAGTTTAAGACCACAAAAGAATCCCAGCAGGAAATCTTGGATGCGTGGAAGTCCGGATCAAAGATGAATCTCTGACTGGATTCAGGTTGCTAGTGGACAAGGTTCCCAACATATGTAGGTTCTTCTGAAAGCAATGTTTTCTATTATTTCCATGGAAATTATAACAGATCCAAAGAGCACAATAACACAATTTGATACAGCAAATTCTCATCTACAGAACTCCTTTTTTCAACAGTCACTACCATTAGTGATGCATTTTCATCAGCAGTGAACAAGAACTGCATTCCACACCTGCAGAAATCTATATCAGTACTATCACTTATTGTCATTACTGAAACACACCACCCATTGTCTCACTGTGCTCACATCCACTGTTTGGTCTTCTTGTTCAACAAGCATCAATGAATGTCAATAGGTGCTATTTTTATAGCATGGGGAAATTCAATGGCACCCCTTTGCTTCACATGCACTTCCACATCAGATGCCATTCTGTCAGATTGCCCCTCTGCTGCCATCTGTCACATGGCAATGAAACGTAATGAAATGGTGGGAAAGTTAAACTTCTACTGCCATAATATTAACATTCACCTCCGACACTGTGAGCCAACATAATCAAACAGGAAACATTAATTTTGGAGCAGTCTTCATAGAAAGTGACTATAGGTAGGACTAAAGAAGTGAGAGATGGAGCTACCAAGCACAGGGAAGCAGCAGACATCAAAGCAGCAGAAGCCACATCTGTGTTAGGATGTGCGTGAACTAGCATAAATGCATCTGTAGACTGACAGCTGGCAACAAAGTGCTGACATTTGTACTGCAGACTTCCGGAATTTTATTCATTTATTTATTTTAACTTCATGCTAGTCCTACTCTGATCCTATGGACTGGACATTCATTAGCTGTTGGGATTGCTCATAGACTGCTCTATGAAGTGAACCAAAATGCACTTACCAAGGGTTTAAGGATACACTTCAAACCACACATTCCTTATACAAACCTAAACTTTACTAGACACGCTGAGAAATACCTCATAGTTCAAGGTCAGTGACAGCTACTTTTTCTGACTGGGAGGAGGTCACTAAAACCTTAAAGGCGAATTATTTCACTGGAATTATGTCAAAGGCAGTAAATTAGAGAAGAATTAGAAGTAATTAGAGTGACCTTGAGCAGACAGGATTGTTTGAAGTCAGAAGAGTTTTAGAAGGCACTTAGCAGAACTGAAGTTTCAGAAAAAGATGAAAATGTGAATGTTGAACTGACAAATACGAGAACAAAGATATTTATTGATACGTTTGTAAACTGATGAAGTGTGTACAAGGGGGAGGACATGAAATGGGAAAAGACATGCCTCTAGAAATATACAACACTTAAAACCAGTTTGACTACATGCTGGATCTAAACTTGGCTACATACATTTCCGCAGGATTACAGAAATTTTCATACACAAAGCTGTTTTTTGAAGCTAATGCCTATAAAGCAACCACCATATTCAAGAGAAAGATGTGCGAGTATAAATTTTAAGCAATTAAATTACCTGTTGTATAGTAGAAACTAATGTTTTCTGGATACTTTCATGTATTATTGTACATACAAACAGAGAAAAGCTTATTCAAAGTTTACAATCATATCTCAAGGGGCTCTCTTGTTTAGGCCAAACATTCAAAAAAAGCAGCTTTTTAAAAGAAACTTGAAAATTATGCTTGGTGAAGATCAGAAAGAAAGCATGCAAAAGTACAGTTGCATTGGTTTTAACATTTTCCTACAATCTCATGCAAGTGCAGACGCATGTACATACATGCCTACATACACGCACACACAAAGACTTAAAGCCTTTACAAATCCTCTTCTTAAATATATTCAAGAAAATTATTATAATAAAGAACTGACATCTTTCACAATAACGTTTTTTCATTCATAATCATTTATGTACTACTACTTTAGAAATTCATTTTCTTATGCACACAAAAAATTAAATCCTACAGAACCTCAAAATACAGCCAGAAATTTGCCATTGAGCTTGAACCATTAACATTGCTCTAATCATCCTTTTCATTTAGGACATCTGTTTCTAATTAAAGGACTGGTTGTAGCTCTGTGAATGGTCAAGAACCATCCGAGCATTGCATACTCTCAAGCACTGCTCCTGCCAATTCTGCTATGTAGTCCAACAGCCATTAGAATGTTCGTTCAATGAAATGAAAAAGCTCGTAGGACTAGGCTACTGAACACACAAGATTCGATTACTGTGAGAACTCTTATCTGATTTATACTACTATTTTCAAACCAGTTCTATTTTAAACAGGCCTTCTAGATCAGTGTTGCACCTACAGAAACACTATTCACATTAGGATGAAAAGTACTGCCAGTAGAAAAGAGGCTTCTTAATCCCCAGAACACCAAATTTTGGTATTCTAAACATGAGTTACCATGTGAAAGAGTAATACTGCACCCAAGGCAGAATACATTTGGTAATAGATACCTGATATACTTTGTTGCTTTTTAGGGAAAATAAAGCTATTTAAATAAGCTACACTATTAGAAATCCTATTAACTCAAGTCTGCAAACAGCCTTTTAAATTATGTTCATGATGTGCTTAATAACCAACTTTATCCTCCTGATCAGCCCTTAAGTGAAATACCTACTTAAGTTTGCTGCCCTCACCACACATTTTACCCCACTGACTTAAAAAGGAAGACAACAATGATAAGATTCAAATTCAACTCCTTACAAGTGTATTTTATGTGATACAACGTCACATAAAACATCACTCACTTAATATAATCTGAACCACTGTAAACTACAAAAAAATACAAATCACCCAATTCATAACAAACACTGTTACTGCTGTGTGACCGAACATAACCGAAAGCTGGCACACATGCATAATTTTACTATAAAAGTATCAAATATGTTATTAAAACCTAAACTGAACATACTAGACAGTTAATACATTAAACTTTCTAGCAATATTTCATAGAAGAAAAGGTTACACACAAATTAAAAAATAAATACATTAGAATACTCCTGTATGAAGGTGTACTGTACTAAAAAAATGCCCATGTAGCCAACTACCCTTTTATTAGCATAAACACAGCTGTCAAGTAGATAGAAACCTCCAATCATTTTTAAAACAGGCTGAGAGGGGCACATAAAGCCCTTCTAGCTGGAAACATCAGTACTTCACACCAGCTAAGAAAGTAAGCCAATACTACTATAGCAATGAATCCCCTGAGAGCAACACTATGCAGAAATGCAGTCTGGAAAGAACACAGTAAGGAAGAACCTACTAGAAAAATCAAGAAAAACTGTTATTACAAAAACTCATCATGATTTCCAAAATATTATTCAGATGAGGTAAGTTTTTAGAGATCTTGAACACAGAAAAAGACTTGAGGCAACTTTTGCTTGTCTCAAATACCAGTACTTCTTTGTTCATCTTCTCTCTGCCTTTCAATTGACAAACATAAGCTTTCTTCACCAAAATGTAGCTGAGAGTGAACACAGTTTACCCACCTATAATTTGAGCACTGTATTTGTTACCCATTTACTACCACTCAGCTGGGACCACTAAACAGATTTACCTCCTTTTCCATGTCTTAGCCAGAGATAATTTTTCAAGTTTCACAGTAAAAGCACAACACCTCAACATTATGTAGGCTGGTGTTAACTGCTTCTACAACTTCCATTTCTTACCCCATGTTAGGCCCACAGTTAGGAAGACCACCATCAAACCGGAAAGGCAAAAACAGTACTATGGATCAGAATGGATGAAGGAAACACTGCTTACCCTGAAGAAAGAAGATCAGAAAATAGACAAAGCACAGAGATGAGTCCTGGAGAAGGTGACCTGAATTACAGCAGTTCATGGGGCAGTACCCCCAGAGGGTCGCCCTCCAAGTACATAATTAGTGCCAGGCCTGAGAAAAGAAAGACTGTTACTAAGTTAACGCAGTTAAGGGGACAGGGGGGAATTGGGTGATCAGTGCACAGAGTAGTACATTTTCTTTCTTAATATAGAAGGGGCAATGGTGGAAGAAGCAGACTTTCCTCACCCACAGCCAAGTCCTGGCGAAAATCAAGAGAAGCCACTGTAGATATCAACTCAGAAGATCACTGCTGCTTTGGTAGAGTGGTAAGGCCTGAACAGCGCAGACAGCTTACAAGGAAAAGCAGTTTTTCTTTAGAAGGTGAAGAACAAATGTTTTTTCCCCCTCCCATCTTTCCCCTCATCCTATCCACCCCAAATAATTTGTGGCCATTCAACTCCAACTAACCAAATGTGGCTATGCTTTGTGTGGCTGAATGTATACATGGAATATTATTCCCATTATGCAACATATCATACATAAAAATTAAACAAAATACAAAAATATGAAGGCTACTCCAAAAGTAATGCCTCCAATTGGATTATGTTGGCCCACAATGTTGGAGGCAGATGGTGGTACGGCAGTAGAGGCTGAAGCTTTCACCAATTTTTCATTACATTTTGTCACCAGGCAGCAGAGGCAAGTCTGGCAAAATGGCACGTGACACAGAAATGCATATGAAGCAAAGGGGTGTCACTGAATTCCTCCAGGGAGAAAAAAATAATACCCACTGACATTCACTGACACTTGCTGAATGTTTAAGGAGACCAAACAGTGGATGTGAGCACAGAGAGCTGGTAGGTGGTATGTCCCAGCAGTGGCAACAGCCACAGTCTAGACAGCCATGCACAGATGTGCTCATCCATGCAAATCAGCAGGTTACAACCAAGGAACTGTGTAAGGAGCTGAATATTAAGCTTCAATACACTGGAAATAATGGTGACAGAGTTGAAATACTGCCAAGTTTGGACCAGGTGGTTCCCACGAATGCTCACACAGGAACAGAAATAATACTGTATGCAAGTCTCTCAGGACCTATTTAACCAATACGAGACTGAAAGTGACAGTTTCCAGGACTGGCATCATTACTGGTGACAAGAAGTAGTATCCCCACTGCAAGCTACAGTGAAAACAGCAGCCCATACAGTAATGCAGTGGCTTTCCAGGGAATGAATTTCCCACTCAAGAAAAGGTTCAAGATGAAGTCCTCAGCAGACAAAGTGATGTGCACTATCCTTTGGGATATAGGAAGGGGCCATCCTTCTGGATTTCCTGGAACCTGGACAAACCAGTAACTCTGAGACACCGACTAAGCTGAAGGCTCAAAATTCCACAGAAGAAGACACGATCATGCTAGGCCCATATTGGTATGAAGACCATGGAGCACACTGCTAGTCTTGACTAGACTGCCCTAACATATACTCAGTGGATGTTCCTGATTTGGCACCTTCTGATTTCCATCTGTTTGGGACAATGAAAGTTGGACTGTATAGGCAACTATATTGAAAAAATACGTTTTGTAGCTGAGAATTTGTGCTATCAAATAGTGTTGTGCTCTTTCAATCTGTTGTAGTTTCCACAGAAAGAAATAGGAGGCATTACTTTTAGAGTGACCTACATAGATGAAAGATGAACAATATGAACTAAGGTGAACTAAGATCTAAACTGTTAATATTTACACTGAAATATCCTAGAAGCTACATATATAACAGTGTACTGGAAACTCTGTTCTTCGTCTGTAAGTCCTTGTTACATTGAAGAGCCCTGTAGCTTGAGTTAGGCTGTGCTGTCACATCGAAGTACACCTGGAAAGAAGCAGCAGATACAGGAGGGAAAAGAAATAAGCATGTAGTCTGGATGACCCCTTCAGAAACTATTTCCACTAAAGGAAAGAAAGACAAGTTAGATGAAGATGGGAGATGTGGGAACATTATAAAACACCAACTATGAGGAAGAGACTGGGAACAGACTTTGCTTGTGAACTGGAACACTAACAACTGCCCTTTCACTTCACCACAGTTAATGAAGATCTTTGTCATTGCAATATTTGTCAAAATGAGCACATATCTGCACAGTTAATATACACATACATACGTATTTAAACAAAAGATGCTGAATGGTAAATCATGCCAACATACTGCAATTCCTATAAACAGAAGTTAAATAACTCTGTTTAAGAATTCTAACTTCAGGTTGATGAGCCTTTAAAAGACAGACTTTCAAGTTGCTAGTATAAAAATACTGAAAGCTTATGAAGACATGCAAGTAGACACAGCTACATACAGTTCATTATAGCTTTAATGCACTTATGTGTTTAAAAATAAAAATAAATAAAAAAAAAAAAGAGTATAAAAGACAAACAAACTTACTCCATCTGTGCTTTTCTTAAGTGCTCGCAGACAGTTATTCCAAACAAGTAGGAATTCCTGAAGAACTTCTATCCAAAACTATGCATAGGCCATCAAAGGCCTTATAACACACACAGTTTTCATGACTCACTATGCGCTCACTATTTCCCCATTCTATTTCCTTGCTCTTCCCACCCAGACTCCCCCAGTATGACGCAAGGCCACACAGCTCCTTGATCTAAGGAGATCAGCTGAAGCGGAACCCACCATTAAGCTTTTTTTTTTTTTAAAAAAAAAAAAAGAGATTGAACTTGAAAAAATATTCAAACCATAGAAGACAAAATATGGAATGGCAATCTATCTATCAATCTATCACTTCTACAATATGGGATAAGAAATAAAATGATCCAATTCAGCATTACCACACGGTATATATCCTTCTTCGTCAAAAAGCTATGCACTCTGAATTGAAGTAGTAGCTGGATGCTTAAGCCTATGTTTAAAATAAATATGACCTTAATATGCTTCCTCCCAGTCAGGAATTACACTTATGCACATACATTCATTAGACATTCTGTGCAGATCTTAAGCCATTGGATGCTTCACAGAAAGCAAGAACATGGAATATGTATGTCTGAACACTTCAGCACTGTTTGTTGTAATTAAGCCTGCCTCTTCATGAAAGATCATCAAAGTGTACCAGGGAAAAAAAGTAAGCCTCAGGGGCACGGTTTGTGATCTTCCTTCATGGGAATCCCTCCCACACCAATCTGGGTAGACATTATATCTCACTTATAGAAAAAGTGACACAGGATCCAGCTAGAGTTACCTCACCATCTCTGATTCATAATTATCCAAACAACAAGCCTACCTACCCGCAAGGAAAGGATTCCTTCTGACTGCACACTGTTAATGTGACATGGCAAGCCTTATGGATGACGACCTCACAGAAGATACTTGTTAGGACTGTTTTGATTTTTTTTTTGTAAACTTTTTAATAGTCAATAAATTTTCTATATAGCAGATTCTGCTCAAAATGTCAAGTGCTGGGCTGCACATATCACACATATTCAGAATGAAATTTTAGGAAAAAACAAATACATTCCAGCTAACAGCTGATAGATGAAATCATTCCACTCATGCTTTCTAGACCTGTAATGCAATTAGAAGAAGTTTTCCTAAAATTGGAAGAAGCTTTACTAGCTCTTCACCTAGTGTAACATCTTAACAGCAAACAAGTTCAGTAACTCACGTTGCCAGTTTCTTAAGAATACAAAGAGCAGCAGTAACATCCGTAAGGCTCCTGTTTTTCAGATAGCAGAAGTGGCAGACTTTCAAGTTAAGTTCTTTATTCATAATGATTACTGTAGAAAACAGATAATAAAGAAAACCTGGGAAGCAACAAAATAGGACTTGCAATGAAGTAGGGAAGCAGCAAGAAGAAGACTGTCAGCATGGTTTAATACCGTATACCTGCAGAGCTGGTAAACCAGAATGACCTAAGGCTAGATGAGCTCTGATCCTTCAAATTTTCAACATCAAAAACACATTCACCACTTTGTCTCAAAAGCAAATAAACAAGAAGGAGAGAGTGTTACAATCAAGCCATATTACAAATCAAAACAGAACAGAACAAAGTTCATCACATATTTCGTAATTAAGCTGTTTGTGCTTTATTCCTCAGCAACAGTTTCGTGCAGCAAGTACTGATTCTTTCAGATGTCGCTGCAATGGAAAGCCAGCAATGTTTTCCCATTTTTGCAGCCAAGGACCTGACTCAGCACATCTGCAGCCACTTGCTACATTCCCAGTCTTTTATACTGGCTCTACTACACAGTCTTATGCCTTCTAATAGGTTAACCAAAAGGATCATCTCATGGTAAAAAAAGAAGAAAGTGGGAAGAAAAGACATATTTAAATGTGTTTGCAAAAGGAATTGATATACTGTACTTTGTCCAAGACAATATTTGTGGAAAAAAAGGAAAAAAAAAAATCAGTCTTTTTTTTCTAAATGAAAAGATGCGTACATTTTCTGAAATTCAAAATGCTATGACAAATAACGAAACTCAAAATTTTTTTTCAGAGGTGACTTGTTGCTTTCTTTTCCTTATAGGAGCACAGATCGTATTGTAAGAAAAACAAAACAAAACAAAACAAATCCATCAGTACACCTGCTGGACTTTAAAAATTCTAATAGAAGGCAGCACCTTACTGTAAGATACATTAGTAACAATATTGTCCAAGAGAAAACAAGTATTTTTATCTTGCTGTTTTAAAAAGTGAGTATGAAAGAACGAACACATTTAACTTCTTATGCAATAGTAAAAATTTTAATACTTACTGCGTAGGAGCCTATGAGAAACGCAGCATTTGCTTGCTTTTTTCGATCAAAGCCAGTATAATGAATTATTTTCTTCTTTATCAATGAAAATGACTGTATCAAGAAATGAAGAATATTATAATTCTGCTGTTTAAATGTTTCATGTCTCCTCTTCTAAAATTAGAAGAATGCAAGGCTCAGTTCATTTACTTTCAACCATTTGTATTGACAAGACAGAATACATTGAAGACAAATCCCTCAGAAGCTTCAGAAGAGTCTACTGTATCTCCACCTAGATTATTCCAAGATTTTTCACGGTATCTAACCTAAATAATTTTACAAAATTACACTAACTTACACAGATTACATGATTTTTTCTTTTTCTCCTTGAATGTGTTTAATATTTCTGACTTCAAGTCCCATGCAATAGATATCTATCTATGTGAAGTAAATACATAACATGGCAGTAAATATATTACATTCTCAAAACCATCACAGATAAGTTAAAGTCCCAACAGCACTAAAAACATAGTTGAGGTGTTTTTTGAAAAAAAATCTTGATACTAAGATTTCTACTAATAGTTGCTTCTAAAATATCTCTGGATCTGGAAAATATAGGCTTAAATAAAAAAATTTTGAAAACCTTTTTAATTCTTATGAGTTACAACGTCTTAAAATTTCATCTAAGTGCTTTGCATATTGTTTATCTGATTATCTTAGGAAGAAGGTGGAATAGCAATGCCAATAGGAAGGACACTTATCTCTATAATGGCAGCAAAAACTACCCCCTACACTATAAAGGCAGCAACTCTTCACCGCAGTGGCCCCGGGCAAGCACCCAGTCCTCAGCAACAACCAAACCATCAGTGCACTGTTAACACTGTGTAGGCTGAAAGCAAGGCATAAGTGTTGACTCAAGTGATAGCAAATAACCGCATATATTTTGACACACCGGATGAACACGGTGCTCTGAACGGACAGTAATACGCAGGTGTGCTTTCCAGTTCAATATAGGAATTTGAAAATAGGTTTCAAGATTGAAAAAAAAAAAATTGGTTTATGTTTGCAACATAATTTTCAGCTGATATAAACACCCCACCTGCAAATTTTCAGATTGAATGCATAGAGTTGCAATCAGATATTCAGCTAAAAAATCTGATCACATCTCTTTGCCAGACTTTTATACGCTTTCCTTTATAAGAAGAATATCCTTTGCTTCACAACCATACCTTCATACCTCATATCATCACTTTTTGGCAGTGCACATATTTGTGAACAATTGTGAATGATTACTGAATTATTACCAGAAGAGCAAAATTTAATCAAAAATCTCTGATGAACACCTCGTGAGCTCACTAAGAATTGCAACCACTGTCATCAAACCAGACTGATCCAACAATCACAATAAGGGTCACACATCCCATCAGTTTTATTATTTTGTTCCACTGCTTTTTTGATGTTTTAAGAAAAAAATTAAAAATTAAAATTTTTGTTACTTATAAATAAACGATACTGTAGGCATTACTTTCAGAGCAAGTTATTTATATGCAGCCCAAGACAATTTCTCTGTACTTAATGCAGTCCAGGCAAGCCAAAGTCTAAGACATCCATGCTGTGAACAGAAGAGAATCTTGTCTCAGGTAAACCTTATCTCTATAGTGACAATATGAAATGGATTTATGAAAACTGATGCCAGTGACAGACACTAATACCCTCTGCAAAACAAAATAAAACAAAAACAAACAAACAAAAAAGAACAAAACCACACTTCAACTTTCTTAAACTACTATGCTCTGCATGCTTTCCAATTTTCATAGTTCAATAGTCACAGCTTTTAAGATCTAAGCAGTTTTGAAAAGGCAAACTGTGTTCACATTAACGCTAATGAGATTTTTATCTGCCTAACAGGTTTTATAGTTCAACTTCTTGAGTTAGAGGTCAACTAACTTGAAGTCATTGATTTCATCAATACAGGAACTCACTATTTTAAAGACACTGTTTTCTATAAAGAATTATCTGAATTACTAAGCACCCCATGACAACAGCGTGTGCATGACAACTCTTCTCTAGGCCACAAATCAAATATCAAAAATCAAATACTGTTTCTTACAGAAGAGGTGTCAGTACCAGTAGAGGAATATAAATTTAAAAAAAAATCCACCATTACAAATCTAACTGAGTCTGTACTCATTCAGCAACTCATCTTCTAGGAGCTTAATATTAGTCACTGCCACGAGAGCAAATTTTAAAGGCAAGTGGCTTTTCTCCTTCCTAAATGCAAGTAAAGGAACTTTGCATACATTTTCAAAACTTAGCCTTATTAGGAATACATGAAAGCACCTTAACAAAAGAAACTTCTGGCCCATTTGCTTCTGTTCTTTACAAAGACGTGAAAATTGAATACTAAAACAAGCATTACCTTTAATTTCTTGTTTAGTTTGCAGCAGTATTTGTAGACCATTGCCAGATTTAGTGGTCCAAAATCTCTATAGAAGCTAGTAAGAGAAAGGGTAAAAACATTTATTTATTTATTTTAATTCAGATAGTTTAAGCTAGATGCACAAAGTAAGAAGTAGTAATATACATATGAATCATTCTGAGCACGTAAAAGTCTTCTTACATATGTACTATTTTAACTGGAACAATAGCTGTTTCATGTTTTCCACACACCATCACACAAGGTAGAATACTCAAGATTTGAAAAATTCAATCACTCCGTGACACCAGTCTAGAAACCCTGTTTTAAAAGCAACCCAAATGCCTGGCTTCAAAAGAAGGCAATGAAAAGTAATTTAAATATTTTGGGAATATGTTTGTCTAGATATACCTATTGTTCTTGTACATTTTATGGTAAATTACCTCAATTAATTGAAGATACAGTATGCACTACTGCTAAAGAAAAGCAAACACAGAGAATAAATATTCATCAGCCCTTTTAAAAACAGTATGTTTTTGGTTAAAAACACTTCAAGAATTAATAGCATTCCAGATTGCATACAAAGACATATGCTGCTCACTACCCAGCTCATAAAAGCTTGAGTCAGTTTTGTCAGCTTTTTCACTAATTCCAGGAAGTTTAGACTCTCCACTTAATACTTTGGTGACTAAAGACATCCCTTTCTGCTCAATGGCTGAATGTAGATTTAGGAGTATACGTTGCTGCAACATGTTCCAGTGTCTTCTAACAACCTGGGGTATAATGAAAGCTCTGAAAAGATTTTTAAGAAATCCTGATGGGAAGCAAAGAAACCATTCTAAGCCTTATAAATAATTATGGCGAGTAAGTCTGAGTCTGACAGACACATATTATTAGCTCTGTAATGGGAATAGTATGTTTCCCTCAGCTACATTTAAACACAGGACATCAATTAGACTGGTTTCTCATTTTTGTCATTCTGACTGATTTATGGTAATAATTGTAAAAAAAAAAAGAGAAAAAAGAGAAAGAGAAAAAGGAAAGAAAAAAGAAACATAAAAAGGAAACAAAAAAGGAAGAAACAAAAAAAAAAAGGAAGAAACAAAAAAGGAAGAAAAAAAAGGAAAAAGAAAGTCTATACTTACTTTGCATACACAAGTTCATTGTCTACGCAGAAATAATGGGTATCTGCAGCTCCACTCTTTGGTTTTTGGCAGAGAATTGCGAAAAAAAGGCGATCTGAAAGGCAGGAAAACACAGCTTTCACAAACACCCTATTTTTCTGCAGCACGCCCGCCGGCAGTACAACAGCTTCCTCCTGCCTCGTCAGGTGGCAGCGACACGGCTCCGAGCTCGCAGCCCTCCATAGACCGCCAGTGCCGGACACGGACAGCAGGGCTGGACCGGCTCCTCTTCCAGGTAACGCAGGCCAGGCCGCACCGGGGCCCTCTGAGCATGGCAGCCGCCAGCTGCAGCCTAAGCGCGCGGCACCGACGTTAAACCGAGCCGCAAAATGTCTCGAACCGAGCTGGGGCGCGGCGTTTCCAAGAGGAGCGCCAGAGCCTAGCCGGCCCCCGCCATTCATCCTGCTGGGGACACCCGGAGCCTACGCTGTTTTGGTGCTCCTTGCTGAACTAGTTAAGGCCACTCTCGGTATTCACATTGAAATAAAACAAAACACCAAAACAAAACTCTCTCGAAGGGCAGCTGCAGCCGCAGTGAACTTTAAACACGAACTGTGCTGTGGCAGTAAATTGCTGCACCTTTAGTTACTGATGAATAAAAACAGGCCTTGCAACAGCACAGCCATACTTCTGTTTTTGCTGCTGGGGAGGAAAAAGGAAAAAAAATGCATATATTTATTTATTATATATATTAATACATATGGGAAGCAAAATTCAAAACCTAAAAGATTGTTTTGCACTAGTCTCCTAGAATGAATACATTTACTTAAATATCTGAACATCACCTATGGATAAGCACAGAAGCATATGTAAAGATCAATATCTCCTCTTCCTGAGAGCAGAAAAAAATCACTTCTGTTTCAAACGAAAATGATTAGCACTTAGGAGTCATTACTTGCACGTTACAGAGGAAAAGACAGGGAGCCCCAGAAAAGCATTTGGGACAAAACATCAGGGAGGAGGGAGCCATAGCTCCGTGTCCCTCTCCCCGCCACAGATTTCCTTCTCTTGCTCTGTGCAGCTAGGTCTATCATCATCAGAGGCTGCAGAAGGTATACTTGCTCATTCAAAGGAGAAGGGGGAAAAAAAAGGGGGGGGGGGGGGGAAGGGGGGAGGACAGGCTGCTTTGCTAGTTTACTCCCCTCTTCCCTGAAAACGAGCACTAATGTCCATACAGAAAAGGACTGACCACATACAAAGAAGCAAAACTGAGAATGGATAAGATATAATATCTAGGGATTGTGTTTAAACTGGTGTTGCTAGATGAAATCCATGTCAAACTACAGCCCTGAGCTATGATTTCACACTGCTTCTAAAGTGATGTAACAGCTAGCTACCACGAAGTTTATTATAAGGCAAAGTTTCCTGTTGGGTTAGATGGCTGGACACGCCCACAGTGGGCTAGCAGTGTCCAAACACATCCAGTATTCCCACCCCCAGTGGCACCTACTCTTTACACTCACTGTTTTTGACTAGGACTGAGCCCTCAGTGCACTCAAACAACACACACACCAAGGTCTAGACAAAATGGCTGCAGTGCTTAGGCTGGCATGCCACCTTCTTGCATGCCAACTTGTTCACATAAATTGTACATCACTTTTGAAAATATGAAAGCTCTACAGAAGAAGTAATCCCAAATCCTTAAATACTAGAGAAGGAGCCAAAAAAAAAAAAAAAAACCAAAAAAAAAAAAAAAACCAAAGAAATACATTTTCATAGGTCCAAAAACTAAAAATAATGTAGCATTTTATTCAAAGAAATGACTTGGGAGTATATGAATCACTTGCTTCCTCAGTGCACCAGCTTTTACTGAAAATTTTCTGCAGCTTTGCAAAAAGGTCCAACAAAAATAAGAATTCATCTCCTGAGTGAATAGAGAACATGTGGCCTTTTGAATAGCTGTTGGCATTCAATTCCACATTGGTATCTTTAGATTGCATTAATTGATGCCATTCTAAAACACCTGAAAGAATTTAGCAAGGAGCTCAAGCTTAATAACTGTAGAATCACCTCACAGTAAGAGCTGCATATGTCAAATGCCAACATCCTGACAAGCTGTCCTTTCCAGCACCCTACTAACAATTGCTCTCCATTATGTGAACAGCAGGCTCCATCTTTTTGAAAATGTTTCCTACGAAGAGATTTTAGTAATAAGCTGTGCAGAGCAGTCTTTTCCCATAAGCCTATCTGCCTTTCTGGCAGCCTGATAGGATACAAATGGTAACCGCTCACTACATCTATTTTTTATATTTTTTTTTTACAAATGTATTTCCAGTTCTGTTTACAGCTACAGCGTTACCAAAGATTAGAGTGTTAATTTTTGAACATGAGTAACCAACGCTGTGAAACAAGGATTCCTCCACTACGGATCCAACTGCAGGACTGGTGTCTACACATGAAATACACTGGAACACTGATAAATGCACTTCAGTAGGACTCCACAACAGCTTGGGCTACAGAAGCAAAACTTCCACTGCACTCTTTGTTAACTTTAGCTTTTTAGTACTTCATTTACATATAATCTAATTTAGTACTTCCAGATTCTCACAAATTTCTGATAAAAGGTAATCATAAAATTATCATAAACTAGAGCAGATCCTTCTAATCATCTCTCAGAAGAATAAGAGCAGAGCTTACTGCCTTGCAGTCTGCATCTGCACTGCAATTAGAACATATGACTGCAGTACATTAGACGTACTTCAGTTATGCTTAATTTTGTTTGCTTCAAATAACAAATCAGTTAAAATACAGAAACATGGACAGTTGCTGGGAATTAATTTTAGTAAGCTACTGATGTACAACAAAATAAGTCCGCAGACCCCACCTGAGAGTTGTGATCTCACAGCTTTGCTACTACAAGTACTGAACTAGTGAGATTAAAGCTACAACAAACATCTTTGTTTACAAAAGCCATAATAATCACACATCTGATTCTGTATGATATGCACACAGAAAGAAAAACATTTTGCTTATTTTTCTGCTCTACAGTGCTCCATGGAAGCCTAGGTATAGAACACTAAGAGCTATCATTTCACAATTGTGTTCACTGGAAAACAGAGACAACAAAATCTCCTTGCTTTACCTCAGTGAGCCTGATGCTTCTATGGGTCCACTGTGAAGGCCTTGAAGAAAGCAATTTCAATAACTCAGGAGGCATCTAAACACCAATCAGGCACTCGCTACAGGTAGGACAAGTCTGCATACAAGCAGCAAAGATTATTTCACCGAAAGAAAAACTCAGCACTGCTATTGTTAACCAGATGCCTCAGATGAGAAATTCGAGTAGACTGACAGTATTACAAAATACAGTGTCAGCTTGTTTTGAATTATAAGGAATGAAAATAGAGACTTATTTACTATTCTAACAGAACTGCATTTCTAAAGCCAGGGTTAATGCATGGTATTTTGTTACATTAAGAACTCCAAAATAGGAGAAAGACACAAGAGAGAACAAAAAGATAAATTGTGTTGCAATATTAAGATGAGAAGTAAAATTGTATGGTATTTTCCTGTTAGTCATCTTATCCTTGAAAACATTCATTCACTCATCTTTACAAATACGATTCGTATTTAAGTGATAATACAGTTGACAATAACAACAATAGCTTGGCCTTCTGAAAGAGGAAATGAAGGCACACTAAAAAGTTAAGGAAATTTTTATTTACCATGAAAAAAATATTTTCAGGGCACATCATGATTGATGATTGATGTGTTACTTTACTTAAACAAAGTCCTTGATCTTAGCTGTTCTCGTCCAGTTTATAAGACTACATTACAAGTGTTCACATGACGTCAGCACTGGCTTAGATATTAAAAGTTTTACACTTGGCTTTAAAAATCTTTATTTTGAGACAGACCGATGAAGTCATATTGACAAAAGATTAAATACAACTTTTGTACTGAGATGTAGCTGAATAATAGAACTAATTGAGAGTCAGTCAAAATTTCCCTAAATTTTGTTTTTGTAATAAAAAAAAGAACAAATTTGGTTTCTTCATAACATACAAAATCTATAATGTCAAACCAACAATATGGGAAAAACAAAACAAAATATTTAGTCTCCATAGTCTCCAACAAAAACACACAAGTAAGAGAACAAAAAAAGCCCTCAACCTATCTATCAATTAGCATATTGAACCGGATGCTCTTTTTAAAAATTTCCAAGTGACTGAGGACATTTTTTCTGGAGTTAGTTCCACACTGCAACCAACTGGATACCCACTGAACAGGAGGACAAACAAACATCTGTGAAGATTCCCTGTGGTGTTCTATCAGTTAAGATTTAATTCCTTGTTTCATTATTGTAGTTACTTCATTTTGGAATTAACTGCTGGAGGGAAGCGAGAGAAAAACATGCACCTTTTGTGCAAAGTTTATGCCTTATTATTGTACACTTTCATTAAAATGTTATTTACAAAATCAGAGCAATGACAACCTGACAATGAAGGGAAGTAATGAGTTTTTAAGCTTCTCACACAAAACAGTTACATTTCCTTTAGATCATATAAATTATTTCTTTCAGAGATCTGAAGAATATGAGAATATGCTTCCAGTAAACAGAAGAAATGTATTCAGTACCAGAAAATTGAATTCATACCATCCAGACTCACGCATTAGTTGACAAAGTGGTAAGATTTATTGTGCAGCTTAACAGACGAAAATAAACAGTTTTCCAGAAGCAGAGATTCCCTGAACTACACTTAATAGCAAACAAAAATATTTAGATTGATAAGTGCAATTCAATAAGAAATAAAGAAACACAATAATTGTGTTGAGTATGATATCTATGCATAACAAAGCATTACCAACTCTGTTACGTATCAATGTAACGTCAGGCAAGACAAAATCTATACATTTTTATAGCTATTTGGGATGGTTTGTGCTGTTGTCTTCTTCCACAAAGATGAAAATGAGAGTAGCCTGAAATGTTCTTGATGAGTTCAGGGCTATTTTGTAAGCAGAGAAGGTAATGCTAGTATTCAGTCTCCATGGTCACTAGAATATTCTCCATTATGTCCAAGTGCAAGAGTGAGGCCTGATACTTTAATCTGCTTCCAGTCCAGAACTACTAATTCACTTCTTGGAACTGCATTATGAGAAGGCAGAACTGACAGTCCAAAACCTGAAATAACTTTTAAAGCAGTCAAAGGAAAAGGTGAGCCTGTAGGCTCATTCTCTCTCAGGGTTTCTTTATTGGGAAAAAAAAAAAAAAAAAACAAATGTCATACCAATGCAATGAAGATTAGGCTGTAACTGTTCCATTATTAGAAGCTTGTAAACAGCAGCCATGACGAGCAGTATGAAAATAAGGGAACATGAATTGTTGTTGAATACAAGAACCTAGTGCATTTTAATTGAGTTTGTTATGCTGTGTACTGATGTACATGCTGAGCTCCCATTGAAAAACACAAGTCAAATCCTAGGTGATGTGCTGCACTATTCAAACAAGCGAGCATTTCCTCGGAAGAGAAAACTCAGTAATGTGAGAGGCCTGGTCGGTGCAGGAGGTGTGCCTTGGCCCCAGACAGATGCTGCCCATGACTGGTCATAACGCTGTCTGTGGGGCTGGGCAGGGCTATACAGCATTCTAGTGTAGGGATGTACTCTGATACCAAAGAGCAACACCTGCCTAATCAGAGGTTTCTACACTGAACCCTAAAATTGTGCTGTACCTGTACAGATAGTTACAGCTAAGAAGATATGGAAAAATAAAGACTTACAGAATTACAGCTCTGCAAATAAACATGCCATTATGTCCCTGTGTAGACTAGACTCCCCAAAAATATAGTTTAGGCTGGAGTATTCCAGTTTTATTCCATAGGTCTATTAGAGCATTTTAAAATGAGGATTCTGTTACACTTTGGGAATTTACATTCTTCCTACATCACTATGCCCGGTTTCCAAAACACTGACAGAATCTTAGGATTTTCTAAACACACTGCTATTTAGGACACATGGCCGTTTAAATACTGTTGCTTCTCAGCAAGGATGAGATCTGTGCTTTTGTCCACGATTGTTCTCAGTATTCTTGCTGCTCTCTTTACATGCAGTTTACCATTTGTCTTTTATAGAAAAGAGATGAGGCTTATTTCTTTTTTTTTTTTTTTTTAAAAAAAGGAAGTTGTAAATAATGCCATTTCCAAATGTGATACAGCACACAGAAAGTCCCTTTCTGTGTTTGTTCCTATATGAACTAAACCCAGACTCGTCTCTTGGACGTGGAACTGAGGGAATTGCTTCAGCCGCACCTCCGCGGCTGCCACACGAACATCGGCTGCTGTCGCAATGCCACCACGGGCAACGCATGGGCACCGCGCGGGGCCAAGACAGAACACATCAAGACGGCCGGTACGAGTATTACGTCCACCAGCTGGCACGGAGGGACACCAGCCCCCCAAGCACGCAAAACTAGACTGCTGGGCTGTTTCGCAGATACGCATTTTGTCGGTTTAATTACTCTTTCTCTCCGCTCTGTTCCAAGCCAAGCCCCAGCGTGAGGCACTACTCGGCGCTGCCAAACAAAGTTACTCAGTGCACATTACGTTAATTGTTCCGAAACGCGCCCAGCACCGCCGAACCCGGCACAACCCCGCTCCAGCGCCATCCACCCGAGGACGTCGCGCCCCACTCCCCACCGCCACCAACTTTCTCCCGGACCAGCCGAGATCGCCTGGCGGGAACACCGGCGCGGCGCTGCAGGAAGCGGCGGGAAAGGGGGGCGTCGCCCTGCTTCACTGTCCCGGCCCCGACTTGCGGCGCCCTGCAGGGCAGCCCGCCCAGCCCCGGCACGCCCCCTCACCGGTGATCTGCACGCAGGTCTCGGGCGCGGCGGTGGAGGGCGTCTGCCGCCGCTCCTCGTCCTGCTCCTCACCCCCCGCCGCCCTCGACGCTGCGCTCCGAGTTCTCTTCAGAGCCGGCGGCGGGCTGGCGCGGCGCCGAGCTTCGGCCCAGCTCTTCCGCTTCATGGCGGAGGCGGCTGCGCCGCTACCGTGGGTGCAAAACGACCCGCTTCGTCCCCGCCGCGTCCCTCCCCGCGGGCCTCGGGTTGCCAGGGGAGGGACCGGCAGCGAAGGCTGACGCGTCTCCGTGGACACCGCCCACTCCCGCCGCTTCATGCACCTTCGCCCCCCCGCCCCCGCCGCCTCTGATTGGGTCGGGGCGGTGTGGCGTCACCGGCGCGGAGCGGTGGAGACAGTGATGTCATAGCAGCCTCGGTAACAGGTGGGCTGGCCCGGGCTTGCCGCGGGGCGCTAGGCGGGGCCGCCGACAACCGCCACCATTGGTGCGTATGAGGCGAGTCTGGTAACGTTCCGCCTGCCCGACCCCAGAGCTCCGAACAGGAGAGGTGTCCTAGGCGGAATCTCGCAGTTTGCGCACTCTGCTTAGGATTTGGAAAGTTGGAAGAGCTGCGTTTATATCTAACACACAGCAGTGTGTTCCACTACAGCACGTTTCAATACACTGAAATAAGTGGAGCACTGCCAGTCCTCCACTGCAATCCGCAGCCCAGATCATGCCTTGTACAGGGTGAGCAGCCAGCGGCTGTCGCCCATGTTTTGCTGCACAACTTTTTAAAGACATTGTTTTTAAATAACAGTAAGGGCCGTAGCTGCCCGTGGCCATTCACTGTGTATGTGGGGCTGGACTCACATGGGCTCTGGCATGCAGTGGGTGCTTGATATATGCAGGGCTGATGTTTTCCTTAAAGCTGTGTTTCTGCTGAGCCTCGTATGGTGTTCTTCCTCTCCTTGGCCCTCATCTTGTGATTCTATCTGAAGGTTTTGCTGGTATAATCAAAAATCACATGGCCTACTAGCACTGAAATGCTGGGATGAGTGGCTTCATGAGCACTGGCAAACAGCAGCTCCAATTGAGCCCTTAGGAGTGCACAGTTGTGTTCAGTTCCTCTATTGAGTTAAAACACCACAACAGAGCTGTTCCACCATGTACTTTTTAAGTTCCACTGAAAGCAAAAAAGTTCAAGAAATGACAAGACAAGCACTTCCTTTAGAGTGGAAAGCACTGGGCAAATGAATGTGAAATGACTGGAAAACCAAAGTGGAACTGGAAGTAGCATCATGGCTCGTATGGCTGATTGCATGTATCAGCATGGAAGTGCTATGGTGCACGGGTACCCTGCATCCCTTCACTTCCAAGTTTCCACTCTATCCCACTGCCCCATTGTGCTTGTGGCAGTGCTGGGTCTGTGGGAAGCTGCTGTGAGCTCAGGTTGGGTGCTGCTGGCTTGGGCTCAGGGTCACATGGTACTTTCACATTAACAGCATCCTTCTCTTAAACATGTGCTACCAAAATGTGTGGGTAATTAATACGGCTAATGGATAGTACCTCCTCATGTAATTACATTACTCAACATCATTATTTTTCTTAAACCTTTTATTTTTCATCAAGGAGCATTGCATCAATTTCACTTGAGCTTAGTGGTGTAGAGCTCCCAAAAGTTTGTGCTGGGCATGACAATGGCCCAAATGGACACAGGGACAAGCCTTTTAATTTTACATAGGCTTTATCCTTGTGGTACTCCTCAGGCTGAAGACTGGTCAGATTCTGCAGAAGAGCTGTGCATTAATAACAGCAACTTATAGGAATGGTCAAAGATCAGCAGCTTCAGAGGGGCCACATTCCTCAATAAATCCTGGAAAATCTAATTTTGAAAGTGGCTCATGCCTCAAAAGAGAGCAAAGTCTGCTCTATTTTAAATTTAAAAAATTATTGAAAGCAATAGACTCTGAACATAAACTCTTATAGAAAAAGTTGCTACAAAATCTAACAACCACAATCTACGATGTCCTCACCTCAGCTGTCTATGACAGAAACAACTAAGGATGTTTTTTTCAGATATACATAAGGTATTTTCTGCTGCAAAAATTAACAGGAAAACAGGTAAGCAGCTGTGGCCTATTCCAAAACCAACTATCTGTTCACAACTACATTTCAGACACAACCCTCCCTGTTTCAACAGATCCACCTTTTTGTATGACTTTTGTATGACACAAAGTAATTTCAAACAGCAGCTGATAATTTTAAAACATCTTATTCAAAAATAGAAAATAAACATCTCTGCTCTTGCCAGATGCAAAAGTACATGACAGCTTAAGTCCCATTGTTTAGAACCATGATTTTTTGAAGCTTATTTTTTTATACAACATTGACACACAATGCTGGAGGTTTTAAAGCCTCTGAAAAGTTTTGGATTTAAATGCAATTTGGTTTACTGAAAGGCAAGAAACTGAAGTTCTTCCTGAGCAAAAGCATTTTAGTTCAGTGCATTCTGAACAAAGATTTAAAATGTGCTAGCAAGATTGTTATATGAGAAAGCAGTAAGGCACAAAGATTTTTTGCAATAGGTCTCAGTTGTATTTTAGTTTTTATTATCTTATATACAACGGAAGCAGTATTTTAGTCCGTCTTCAGTGTCATGTAGTTTATTCTGTGCTCTGGTCTTCCAGACATAGTTTCAGATATGCTATAACGATGAAGAGTACTGAAGCTGTTGGGAATTCATTGGAGTGTAATTCTTGTGGAGCATCAAAAAAAAATGACACACTGCCTCAGTGTCATATGTCAATAATCTGGGGTTTGTTTGTGAAATTTACTGTTTTAACTCCTGCCAGTTGCAAAACTGAATTAATGGGAACATGATCCAATCTGTTTCTATCATGATGCAAAAAATGAACTTCATTACCTGAAAGGAAATGAGAATAAACAGGCAATTAGTTGAATACAGTACTTATTAAAAAGTATAAGTGAATGAAAGAAGCATTGTGATTTCCTACAAGCTCTTACGTATCTTGTAGACTGCACAGTAAATCCTATTTTAAATTATGACATGGATTTTTTCTTTTTAATTAAGTTGTAGAAACAAGGGGCATTGAAGCATCTAAATGAATTAAATCTGCTGAAGAATAGCAAGTCCTAATGACATGAGATGGCTTTGTCATGTGGTAGCCACTGTACAAACACACTAAATGCCTCAAATCAAATTGAAAGCAGAATGAGTTAATATCACTCAGAATTACCTTCTGAACTTCAAGCCATCAGCAGCACTACTGATTTTTATAGCACAGAGGTCAGCTTTGTGCTGACCCTGCCAAAGGTGAGGCTGCACAATGACACCTCCATGGGTTCACTGTGCTAGCAGAACTGCAGAGACAGCACAGGATTGTTCTCCTCACATCTCCACACGGACAGCAGCAGAGATGGTAGCACTAAAGCAAACAACAAAAGGAGTAGCCTGTCACTTTTAGACAACAAGAATGGGATTACCTGGGCCTAAAATCAGAGTTCCTCCCTGTTGTGCAGGGTCTCCTTGGAAGTCAAAAGCTGGGCTAGTCATTGCTCTCCACATACTTCTAATACTGCCCAAGAGCATGCCTGATTTTACATGAGGGCTCTGCACTAAACAAAACAGCAAGGAACTTGTCACGTAGACGTACAAAAGTACATAACAACAAAATCAAATGGTTGCTATGATTATTGAAGAAACCAGTGCTTTGACAAGATGCAGCCTACCAGAGATAGTCTGATGGTTAAGCTTCCTATGCCCATTGTGATCATGCTATTATTTTCTAAGCATTCTTGTTCTTTAAGTCATATCAGTGAGAAAATTATTCTTACCTGATACGTCATTACCTTCACCTCTTTTCATGCCAAGCATTTTATAAATTTCCCTTTGTGGATCTACATACATTTCATGTGTATACCCAGTTAAACTGCAAAAGGGCTGCAAAATATGTACATAAAAGAAAGTGATATTTTTAAGGTCAAGAAAGTAATTTAGTTAGAAAAAAAAAAAAAAAGGAAATACACCTCAATTTTAAAACTGTGACTTTGTAATGCTAAATGAAAGTAAAGGCCAAAAAATTTTAGCCCTACAGCTTTTACTAAAACAAAGTTTCCATTGAAATCAGGAAAAGATCTTCCCTTAACAAGTCTCAGTGGATTTTAAACTGAAAGCTTTAGTAATTTGCCTTATTCAAGCATTACTATTAGAATTGCTTCATCAGAAAGAATACTGGCCTGGTTTTCTGTGGCTGCTAATGACTGTCTTTTCACTCTGAGGAAAATCTCTCAATGTAGATCATTAAGACACTATAAAGCGTACAGTTTATTTAATGACTACCTTATTTACCTTGATGTGATGATAAGATGACTGTCCAATAACTATGAGCCTCACATTTGCTTCCTAGAACAAATCACAGGTATTGATACTGAAAAGGAGGAACTCTGTGCTTCTGCATAGCTGCAACACATTAGCATTTTGATGTTGTAAGATAATGATCATGGTGTACTGCATTAAAATTATTCAAAATTAATGTCACTGGCATCATACTTGGAGCAAAATGCTTTTATCTGTCATCCACAATTAGTAGCTACATTAACTTATTAAGCAGTAAATTACTTTTATAAGGTAATTTAAGTTACAGGTATGTGAACAATACGCTTTCGGTAGCATTAATAGCATCATCTTTCCTACTGAATGCAACCTGTTCACGATTTTGGAAACGCAAAATTTCACCACAGTTGCACCTGCATATATGGACGGAGCATGCAAATATTGGCACACAAGCAAGTTTATCTGTGATTTCCATATACTAATGGCCCTTAGTATATATAAACTTCAATCAGTGTGTTGTGCTGTCTTTTGCAGTTGCACCTTTAGGCCTGAGTATAAAACACAAGCCTTGTTTGTTTAAATGTCAGGAGAAATAATGCTGCTGCTACAAGGTATGTCATGCAATAACTCCCTTCATAAGTCTCCTTGGCAGATTCATTGTGGCAACTGTAGAAACCAAGCAAACATTAAGTTTACTGTGAGCCTTCCTTTGATTCCTGGAAGGTTTAAGTCTGCAGCAGGAGATAATGGAGCTGACTGTAAAGCACATACAGGGGTGTGGCACCTACTTGTAAGTAACTCCTGGGGACTTTTGCCAGGTCTTCTACATACTCCTTACAGGTATAACACAAGAAATTCTGCAACAGATGAACTTATAAGAAACAGACATTACTGCACAGCAGTGAAGAAACATTTTGACTTCAGGCATGAACTAGTTTGGAGGTGACTGGGAAATGGGCATGGGAAAGAATGAAGTTCACTGCAGTCACAAAATTTGGGTTAGGAACCTGATTTAATTACTCCGAGCCTGAGTACATACTCCGGGTCGGGGGCCATGCTAGCCATCTATCTACAAGAGCTGGCTTGTCAGCTGGGACATGGGGCAGCAGTACACTTGAACTGAACACACAGCTGAAGACTTGTTTTATCTGCTACGTATTTGTCTTTGCTCACCCAGCCGAACGCGGGGGGGGGGGGCCCCACTCCCACCTTTACAGCTCAGAACTCTCCAAGTACGAGCGTAACTCTGCTCAGCCCGTGGCAGCCCGCCCAACCCCTTGCCGCCCTCCTCACCCGCACGAACACCACGACGACCTTCTGCCGCCTGTACAAGGTCCCGAAGGGGATCCTCCTCCCGTCAGCGTCCACTACCAAGCAGTGGGCGGCTTCCCGCATCTCCGCGGGCTCAAGGCGCGGCGCAGCGGACACGGGACGGACCTGCTGCACGACCGGGCACAGAGGCGCTCCAGACATGGCTGCGGCTCCGCCGTTCCGCCCGACCTTCCCGAGAGAGTAAGGCGGAGCCGGTCGGTGAAGCGCGAGGCCTGCGAGGAGGCGCCGAGGCAGGGTGGGAGGGCAACGTCCTGTGCCGGCAGCTGGAGTCAGTCCACTGCCAGTGGCTGGCGCTGTAGGGGGAATAGGCCTGTGAAGGCCTTTGAAAAAGCAGGGAGGGAGATGCGCTGCCAAAAGCGCTGCCTATCATACGGAGCCGGAATGCAGTTACTTGCAGTGGAGCCAAACGGAAGATCCCAGAAATGATGTGTGAGCAGAAGTAGCGGTACCGTCACCCAGCCCCCGGTCAGGACTGCCTTTGCAATGTGCCGCAATCGAGCCAGAAAGTGATGTTTTCTAGGAAGTGCTGAGTTGCTGCATCACCCATCCCTCACAGGAGTAAAAGAACTGCACAGGACTTGGGCAGGTGACAAGCAGTGGATGCCTAGCAGTGCAGAAGTGTGTGATTGCAGGGAGTGCGCACAGCAGTAGAAGAGCTCAATAGCTCCCCTGAAGTAGGAGCACCAGACACGAGCAGAATTTTAGTCTGCTTTGGGTTAAACCCATTGGTTTCATACTACTGTGAAAGACTGCATAGAACATTCCTGACCCACTACTTCGACTTTCTGACTAGATACAGAGTATGTGCGCTCAATCTTGTTTTCTCATTTGATCAATCCTTTTTTTTTTTTTTTTTTTTTTTAACCTTTCCCCCCTCAACATAATTTACACCCCAGCTGAGATATTCCCTAACTAATTTCCTAAAACTTGTTAAATAATTTTCAGGGCACATCAAGTGCTGTATGCCAGGTTAACAGTGCAGGCAAGTCAGCTCAAGTCAGCTCTACATAGTAAACAACAACACCAGGGAAGGGGATCCCTGGCTGATAAAGTGCTTATGGGGAATCAGATTTCCAGGGCATACCTGGAGGTGGAACTGGTATATCCCTCTTGTTTCAGCAATAGCACTTTATTTCATTATGTGAATCTGTCTTTTGGCTTTGTCAGATTAAATGTGGTCCTCATCGTAACAGTTTGCTGAGAGAGCAAATCAGTGTTCAAATGTTAGTAAAGAATTTATATATTTGCTTATAGCTGTTTGCTTGAAAGACTAATCTTGTAGTCCAGTATGCTCCCACACTGACCTCAAATTTGTACAGAATTTCTGAAAATTGCGAGACTTGCTCTCTGTTAGATAAGAGTCTGGGCAGTATTAATTCCGTGTTGCAATTGTCAGACTTCTTTGTACAGGTAACAGTTATACCTAGTTTCTGTGGTCAGCTGGATCCCTTCAACCAGCAGCCTAGGAGCAAAATTTGGTTTGTGCAACAGAGAGGGAATGGCCTGCCTACCCTGAACTACCACAAGATGTAGAAAAGCAGGGAGAAGTGGTGACCTTTGATATGCTTTACTCTTTATGAGGTTGAAGTTGGCAGACTGGTCACATAACCTATCCATTCTATTGGCTGCAGTAAAGCCTCTGGGTAGCACAGGCCTCAGTATGCAGAGCACAAGGGCATAGCAGAACTGGGAGAAGACTGTCATCTCTGCAGCTGGAAATCAGAGCCTACAGCTGAACTGTTGTGTTCCTGCAGTGGATATGCAGCCAGGTGCTCTTTGGGATGCAGGTATGGTTGGGTCTACTGATGAGGTGTTGGACAGGGGTTGTCATAAATTTGCAGGACACTGTCCCAGCTCAGTATAGCTTCTTGTGCCTAGATTACAGAGAAGTCAATCTCTCTTGATTGGAAGTTTCTGAGGAGCCCACCACATCTGTTAGAGCTGATACACATTCCTGCCTAAAAGTCTGCCTGCAAACTTAGCTCTTTTATGCTGTTCAGAATGCCTTAGCTGGTGTCAACAGTGTATCCTGATAAGTAGCATCTTTTCCCAAGGATATCTTCCAAAACATTCTCTGAAGCTCCTCGAAAAATATGGTCCCCATTTTTGGTAGTGTTCCATGAAATTGTAAGTAGCACACAAATGCTACTTATAGTGGAGCACTACCATGTTCCCTGAAATAGAAGGCACTCAAAATTAGCAGTCGCTTTTGAAAGTGGAAATATAAAGTCATTCATTTAGGTACACTTAACAGAAATTTGTTTACAAATTTCACATATTTAGATGGAAAGAAAGACTCCACATCTGCTGACTTCAGATATTCTGGTTAATACAAACTTTCTACAGGAATCAAAACCATAAGGTCCATTCGTATGAGTTATCTTTGGGGAGATCATCCTTTGTTGGTTGTTTTTTTGTTTGTTTGTTTGTTTTCTTTTTCCCCTGCTCTTTTCTTTACATTTCTTAAATAATGAGATGTTGATAACATGGACAATGTAGTCATCAGAGCATTGCCTTTGTTTCAGTGACTTAAGGAGAATTAATTATATATTGTCATATTAATCATGATGTAGCATTCAGGATGCAAGTTACTTTCTACACAGAGGTGCAGTTTACAGTTGCGAAGGGAAACTTAGCCAAATATTTAAACAACTAAGAGCTAGTTTACTTTTTGTTGTGGATAGGAAATTGGGATTCCTACCATTTCAAGGAGAAGAAAACAAGCACAGATGTGACATAATTTATTTCCTCTGTATTGGCCAGTGAAACAAAATGCCAGTCATAATTATGCAACCTGAAGCCTTTTATTTAGAAGAAATGAATAAAATACCTGACAGGAGTGATGTGGCTTATGTAAGTAGTGTGCCACAACAGTTTAGAGTATGTAGTATGTACTTGTGAAACACCATATTATTATCTATTTACTGCAAGATGTACTTTTTTTTTTTTTTTTTTTCCTTATTTATGTAAGTATTATTTAGCTAGAGGCATTGTGGTTATTAGTTGTCAACTGAAATAAATGTTTATAATTCTAGAGTAAAAGTATTTTGTTAAGTGTTAACCAAGAATGAGTTGTTTTTAAATTGTTGTAATTAAAAAGCAGTAAAATGTATACTGTCCTTTAGATAAGAGGCTTTTACCCTTATGGCTGTTTTTCACTGTTCTGATAGTGTAATTTTGACTAGTTTATACTAGACTTCATGTCATAGAGTTGTGGAAATATTTATTTTAATCAGCCAGGAAAATCACTTGCAGTTTTGAAGTCGTATTTCAAATACTAGCGTTATCATCTAATCTTTTTTTATTTTTTTTTTCTACTTGGAGTATATTCACTATCTCATGATGTCATTTCTCTTTATTTATCTTTCATTCCCTCATTTTTTTTTCCTTCCCCCTTCCTTTTTTTTTTCTTTTTTTTTTTTTTTTGTGTGTGTGTGTGTGTGTGTCTGTGTGTCTGTGTGTGTGTCTGTGTGTGTGATTTTCTTCCCCCTACCTTCCCCCTATGGGAGATATATAATCGTTTCAGAACTTGCCAAAGTTTTTCATTTTGATTTTTCACTCCTTTTTGAAGCTGTTCAAAATTATTTACAAGACTAAGCATATCTTAAGTCTGCTTTAAGTGTGTACTGATTAGCTGCTGCCTTATAAAACAAATAGCTTAAACACTCTAAGAAATCTACTGTAGTAGGTTAGCAATAATATGTACCCATGGAGAGAAAAATTTTTTGCTATTAAATTGGGCAGACTTAGTTTGGTAGCACTAATCCTAAAGGGAGTGCTGCAACGGGTAACCTTACTACAAAACGAACTATAACAATTTTAAGTGAAGTGCATGATACTTTGATTAATACAACTTCAAGGCATAAAAAGCCTTTGATGCTTTTATTCAGAGCTTTTCATATTTGATCTTTTCCTATTTTGCATCTATCTACTTTGTGTGCTGTAGTTGAAAACTAGAGAATACCAACTCCATGTCAAGAATGTAAATTATATTATGAAGAAGCTGTCTTGTGGCTCAGTGCCATGAGTTTAAATACTTCTTTAAAGAACTGAGAGGGAGCAAGTCTCTCACCTGAAGAACTCATTACTTACATAGGTTATTTACAGGCAAAGAAACAAGTAAAAAATAAGGTTCTTAGAAAGTAAGCTAATTATTTTTAGTGTTGAAATTACAGTGTAAATTAGATGTGAGGATTGTGGGGCAAAGAATGAAAAGTGGATCACATGGGGTGTTCATGCCAGATTAAACCTTGTTATTTGAGACTTATACTTGTCATACAAGGTGAACAAAGACTTTCTTGAAAACCCTATATAGTGTTTTGTTGGGTTTTTTGTTTGTTTTTTTTTAATTCAGAAAACATTTATTTTCAGCAGAGAAGTCTAAAATTGTTTCTTTTACCCTTGCCTCTCCTCCTCTGCCTTCTCTTTTTCTCTTTTGCCCACAGTCTTCTCTTTTTGCTTATGCAGAGTAAGCATACCACAAGAAGGCTGTATTTCTCAGGTCCTGTTCCTGTTTTCTGTGTTCATGGTGAGCTGGGTGTCTACTTCAGCAGTATATTCAGTTCATGTGACTCTTACATATGATGTTTGATATTTTTCTAAAGTGAGAAATTTTCTTCTTGAGGAAACTTAATAGTATATTATACTTGTTGAAGGCTAATAGCTTAGTCTAATTTTAACATGATTGAAACAGATCTCATTCATTTTTGGTACATAATCATAAGTAATAACTTCTGATATCTCTTCTGTGCTTCAAGGATTAGTTAGGAGCTCAGATCTGTTCTCCTATAGCACCAGATTTTTAGGTACTTATTTTTATTTTGCTAACATTTGATCTTGATTGACTGCCTGCATCCTGTAGAGTACAAATCCATGGCTTGTGCTTACCCTCCTTCCTTACAAAATGACTAAGATTTGTTGCCTGTCTCTGGTTACAGTGTGCCTGACTGAGATGATTCATGTACCAGACTTGGAGAAAGTAAGCACATTTTGTTTAGAAGGGCCCTCCTAAAGAAATGATTTAAACAAGGAAAAGCAGTTCAGGGTAAAATGTCAAATGGTCATAACGTGCATCCTCTGTAAGGAATCCTAAATATCACAGCTTTTCAGCTGGATCTCTTTAGAGCGCCTTTAAAAATGTCTCTAATGGAAATCTTGTGTTTGGTGAAACTCCCACCATAGGCAGAACAGTGCATGCCAAAGCTGGGTGCAAGCTATG